AAATCCCAACAACATGTTCTTAGTAAGAAGAAAAACGTAAGTAGAATCTTCAATCCTGGATAAGATTAATAGTCAAGGGTGTAAACCCAGCCCCCAGAAGAGAGAACTAGACTGCCTGACTTATCAAGTATGTTTTACTAGTTTTCCAGTTGTTGTGCTTTTTGTGTTCCCACTTTACTAAAATGTAACATAGTTAATATTAGTGTGAGATAGACTGGGAGCAGTGGCTCACGCCTGTAATCCTAGCTCTCTGGGAGGCCAAGGTGGGTGGATTGCTCAAGGTCAGGAGTTCGAAACCAGCCTGAGCAAGAGGGAGACCCTGTCTCTACTCTAAATAGAAAAAAAATTAATTGGCCAACTAATATATATGGAAAAAAATTAGCCGGGCATGGTGGCACATGCCTGTAGTCCCAGCTACTCAAGAGTCTTAGGCAGTAGGATTGCTCGAGCCAGAAGTTGAGGTTGCTGTGAGCTAGGTGACGCACGGCACTCATCTAGCCTGGGCAACAGAATGAGACTCTGTCTCAAAAAAAAAAATATTAGTGTGAGATAGAAATATCTAGTATTTATTGATAGGTATTTTGGTTTCTAATCCGTTTTAAAGAGAAGGTTTCTCTTTGATCTCCTAATGTATTAATTCCCTCTTCAGCCATGTTAAATCATGTCCAATGAGTTTTTTAATTTTGGTTTTTATTTACTTCTAGAAGTTATGTGATTTGTTTGTTTTCAGTTTAGTTTTGTCACTTTTCGTTTTCCTGTTGCTTTAAATAATCTTCCAGTTTGTCCTAATTCTTTTTTTTCTTTTCTTTTTTTTTTACTCCTTTGTAGACCCAAGATGTCCTAATTCTTTAACATGTTAGCGTGGTTTTATAGATGCTCAAATTCAAATAGTTAAGAGGCCTCTGCAGCCAGTATTTCTGCTCTGGTTCCATATCATTGTTTTTGACATTTATTTATAGAAAGAATTTGAGGAATAGGATGAGAATACCTTCTGCAAAGGATTTGCAATTTACTTATGGTCAGCACCTTAAAGCACATTCAAGGCTGGAGGTTCCCTAATGAATGCAAACCACAAACCATGGCTATAAATCTGCATGGCTCTACTTCCTCTTCATCTTTACCCAGAGGGTGAAATTCACTCAGGCCCCAGGTTATTTGTGAGGTTTCCCTCTTAGAATCCTACCTGGTGTGGATTTGATTTCTCTTCCACTTCATCCCCCCATTATGATACAACTGTGAAAACAAAAGTTAGGATTAGCAAATTCTCTAAGGGGAAAAAAGGCTTCTCACCCTTAACGGTCCTCATTTTAAATTTCTTACAGTGTTATCAGCTCATCAGTGCTTTCTAATGGGGGAAATTTAAAAAAAAAAAAATATTTTACCCTCCTTTTTTACTTCTTTTCATTAGGAAAGTGAGTCCAAAATGACACAGACTAGCTGGGCATGGTGGCTTATGCCTGTAATCCTAGCTACTCAGAGGCTTAGGCGGGAGGCTCACTGGAGCTCAGGAGTTTGAGACCAGCTGGGCAACAACATATCAAGACCCATCTCAAAAATAATGTATATCAAAATAACATAGACTAGGCTGGGCACGGTAGTTCGCTCCTGTAATCCTAGCACTCTGGGAGGCCAAGGTGGGAGGATCACTCAACGTCAGGAGTTCTAAACCAGCCTAAGCAAGAGCGAGACCCCCATCTCTACTAAAAATAGAAAGAAAATTAATTGGCCGACTAAAAATATATAGCAAATTAGCCGGGCATGGTGGGGATGCCTGTAGTCCCAGCTACTCAGGAGGCTGAGGCAGAAGATCACTTGAGCCCAGGAGTTTTAGGTTGCTGTGGGCAGGCTGACGCCACAGCACTCTAGCCTGGCAACCAGTGAGATTCTGTCTCAAAAATAAATAAATAAAATAACATAGACTAATATTATTGGAAGCAGGAAGTCTGAATATTTTGTCATTTGTCACCAGATTTGATTGAGGGCATTTTGAAGATGTTGGAATTATTGGTTAAAATGGAATTTGGGCACTTACAGATTTCCATTTAATATAACTCTGTGATAAAAAAACAGATTTCTAGCTGTGTAAGTTTCACTGTTTTAACTTCAGCCACCTATACTGAGCTAGGAAAAAATGGTCAGGATTCACTTTTTGTGACGCTTTATTGAAATACAATTATCATACCATACAATACCCCATTCAGGATTTGATTTGATTTGTTTTTTGTTTTTTGAGACAGAGTCTCATTCTGTTGCCCATGGCTGGAGTGCAATGGTACCATCATCAGCTCACTGCATGCCCCTCAAACAACTTGGTAAGTGATCCTTCTACCTCATCCCTTCTTTTAGGTGCTGAGACTACAAGTCCACACTACGCGCACCTAGCTAATTTTTTATTTTTTGTAGAGAAGAGATTCCTGTATTGTCCAACTGGTCTCAAACTCCTGGGCCTCCAAGCATGGAAGGCCTCTGCCCACCTTGGTTTCCCAAGTGGTGGGTTTTACTAGGCGTGAGCCACGGTAACCCAACCCAGGATTATTATTTACTCACCTCTAAATGTCACTGCTTTCACAAAATTTCTAACTATATACGCTTAGAATAACCAGATTCTGGGAATAATAATATGTAACTAGCTTCATAAGAGTGCAGTTTGACAATGAGTTGAAAACTTGAGTTTGGGTCAGGTGCTGGTAAGGGAGTTCTTTGTACATGTGAAGGCCCTTTCAGGGATCTTCTGAATAATCCAGAATTGCAGGTCTGAATCTTTGCCATTCTGTTTATCAACAGAAGTAATTTCCTTCTAAAATTATATGCCTGTTTTTGGTAAGGCAACAAAGAAAAAAAACAAGGAAACAAGCCTTCTTAAAAAAACCAAGGGGAAGAGAAAGAAACGAGAAAGGTTAAAGAAACAGGCTGCATTAGTACCTAACAAAAGATGACGTGACCCCTAAAATTAGTCGGGTGCAGAAGAAGACACCTGGATTCCCAGAAGGAAAGGACCCCCGGCATGGGAAAGAAGAAGAAAAAACATGGCAAAGTAAAAGCCCAACTTGAGTCACCAAATGAATTCTTGAAGATGAAATTCCACAAGCTAGGTACCAATAAGAACAGCTCCAGCTAAAGACAATGTAGAGCTATTTGTTATAATATTTAATATTCTTATGAGATTGGTTCTGTGGCACTGTGTACAGGCAGGCGACTGTCTGAGGATGGAGTGATGGAAATACTAGGTGAAACTACAAGAATTAGGAAGATAGTTAAAGTGATTACTTTCTCCTTTTTAAATGCTGGTGTGATGTATAGTAAACCACAACCTTTGTTAATTGGGGTCAAGAAAGACTTGGCCATATTTGTCAATTTTAAGAAACATTGGCTTCGTGGATTTGAAAAGCAGACCAGGCCAGCTTGGTGGCCTCATGCCTGTAATCCTGACATTCCCATGACGAAGACAACGCAAGAGAATTGCTTGGTTACAAGGATCAAGATACAGCCTCAGCAACACAGTGAACCCCATCTCTACAAAAATAGAAAATTAAAACGAGGTTGTGTGCAAGGCACCTGTATGTATTCCCGCTACTTAGGAGGATCTCTTGAGCCCAAGACTTAGTTGCAGTGAGCTCGATTACACCCACTGCCCTCCGATGTCCAGGCAACAAATGAGACCCTTATTTCCAAAAAAAGTAAAGGCCGGCGTGTGGCTCACCCGCCTGTAATCCTAGCACTTGGAGGCCAAGGCGGGCAGATGCTCGAGGTCAGGAGTTTCGAACCAGCCTGAGCAGACGAAGACCCTGTCTCTACCATATAGAATACGAAGAAATTAATTGCCAACTAATATATAGAAAAAATTACCAGCATAGTGGCACAAGTACCTGTGAGTCAGCTACTCGGGAGGCTGAGGCAGGCAGTGATTGCTTGAGGCCCAGGAGTTTGAGGTTGGCTGTGAGCTAGCTGATGCCACGGCACTCACTCCTATCCTGGCAATCAAAGTTGAGACTGTCTCAAAAAAAAAAAAAAAGAAAAGTAAAGAAAATACAGGGCAGAAGTGTGGGGGCAAATGGTTCATCTCTAAAGGTAAATCCTGGATGGCACAAAATTAAGGGCAACACTTGGCGTATGGAATTCTGCCTCTAAAACCCCTCTCCAGCATCCCACACCTCCAGTGATCTTTACAAAAATCTGGCTTCATTTTGTTGAGAAGATTACTTTAAAGGAACTGAGTTTTTTTATTTTTTTTCTTTTATTTTTTTTTTTTGAGACAAGTCTCCTTTGTTGGCCCAGGCTAGAGTGAGTGCCGTGCGCATCGCCCTGGCTCACAAGGCAACCTCATATCTCGGGTCAGCGGATCCCTTCTGCCTCAGCCCTCCGAGTAGCCTGGGCAACCAGGATGTGCCCACTGCCGGCTAATTTTTTTTTTTGTATATATATTTTAGTTTGGTCAATTAATTTCTTTCTATTTGGTAGAGACGGGTTCTTGTCAGCTGTTTCGAACCTCCTGACCTTGAGCAATCCCCCGCCCGCCTCGGCCTCCCAAAGTGTAGATTACAGGCCGTGAGCCCACCGTGCCCGGCCCCTATCCCTTTATTTTGTGGTAACGTTTCTACTCATAGATATGTACAATTCTTAGAGGCAACGATCTCTCAACAAAATAAAGGGTAATAAAGTCCTTGTGAGACGCAGAGAGTTCTCTCCACATCGTGTTCAAGAAGAACTCACTTGCCCCTCGGCAGACTTTGCCTGGGTTGGTGGAGGCAATGCCTTCAGTAGGTGGACTCCTGGTCCCAAGGGCTGTTACTGCACTACACCCTGTCTTATGTGTGTTGTGGTTACAGTAAGCCTTGAAATGTTCATCCTAAAGCCGCCCAAAGTGCTACTAGAATTTTTTAAGTTACTCGAATTAATATAAGGTAATATATTGTATTGTTTAGAAAAATAAGCTTATTGTGGGACTGTGGATGGTGTGTTGAAATTAGAGGCGAAAAGCTAGCTGGAGCAGATGATATAGCAAAAGCCTTAGAAGTGTTTGGCCGCTTTAACCCATCACAGGACAATATACACTAGAAATACTGCTCAGTGAGAGTTTATAGCTTGGAAAACACTAATAATTGGGGAAAGGGCATAATACATCAGCTTTTAAATACTATGGAAAGGTATAAATCATATTAATATATTTGTATCAGGGTTATCTAGGGGTTATTTTTGGTCTTCAGTTTCCACTGATGAGTCAGAACCTGTAGGCTTTTGTTTTTTTTTTTTTTTTTTTTTCAGTTAGAGTCTCACTCCTGTTGCCTGGACTAAGAGTGCTGTGGCACTCGCCTAGCGTCACACAACCTCCAACTCCTGGGCTCAAGCGATGCCTCCTGCCTCAGCCCTCCTGAAGTAGCTGGACCTACAGAGTCATACACCACCACTCGCCCAGCTAATTTTTTCCTTTTTCTTTTTTTTTTTTTTTTTTGAGACAGAGTCTCACTCTGTTGCCCAAAGGCCTAGAGTGAGTGCCATGCCATCAGCCTAGCTCACAGCAAGCTAAACTCCTGGGCTCAAGCAATCCTGCTGCCTCAGCCTCCCGAGTAGCGGATACGGGCATGTGCCATCATGCCGGCTAATTTTTTCCACTAATATATTAGTTGGCCAATTAATTTTTTTACTTATAGTAGAAAGACAGGGTCTCAACTCCTTGCTCCCAGGCCTGGTTTCGAACTCCTGACCTGAACGATCCGCCCTGCCTCGCTCCCAGAGTGCTAGGTTATAGGCGTGAGCCACTGCACCTGGCGCCAAACCTGTAGTTTTATTTACTCAAAAACAAACTTTGGTTTTGTTGGTTGTATTTTGTCTTTAAAACCTACCTTCTGTATGAGCAAGGAGACATGCAGCAATGTTGTCCCTTGGATCTAGGCAGCAGCAGACACCGTGGTTGCTTGCAAACCCAGGAATTTCTCCGCATGGAACTCCCCTCAAACAAGCCTCTGAATCCTAAACTTGGAGAACGACGTCTTTTCTAACATGCAGCCAGTTGGTTCTTACACAGGTAGTTTGGGAAACCCCTGCCCTTAACCCCACCTGCAAGGGATTACAGCTGAAGTTGAAGAGGATCCAGGACAGTGTGATTTGTTGTTTTTCAGGTTAGCTTTGTCACTTTTTCTGTTTTCCTGTTGCTTTTAAATAATCTTTCAGTTTGTCCTAATTCTTTTTTTTCTTTTTTCTTTTTTTTTATTTACTCCTTTGTAGACCCAAGGATGTCCTAATTCTTTAAACATGTTAAGCGTAGTTTTATAGATGCTTCATAATTCAAATAGTTAAAGGCCTCTTGCAGCCAGTTATTTCTGCCTCTGGTTCCATATCATTGTTTTTGACATTTTATTTATAGAAAGAATTTGAGGAATAGGATGAAGATACCTTCTGCAAAGGATTTGCATTTACTTATGTGTCATGCACCTTAAAGCACATTCAAGGCTGGAGGTTCCCTAATGACGCAAACCAAACCATGGCTATAAATCTGCATGGCTCTACTTCCTCTTCATCTTTACCCAGAGGGTGAAATTCACTCAGGGCCCAGGTTATTGTGAGGTTTCCTCTTAGAATTCCTACCTGGTGTGGATTTGATTTATCTCCACTTCATCCCCCCATTATCATACAGCTGTGAAAACAAAAGTTAGGATTAGCAAATTCTCAAAGGGGAAAAAAGGCTTCTCACCCCCTTAAGGTCCTCATTTTAAATTTCTTACAGTGTTATCAGCTCATCAGTGCTTTTTTTTTTTTTTTCTTTTTTTTTTTTTTTGTCAGCTGTTTTCAAGCAGAATCATCAGTGCTTTTATGGGGGAAATTTTTTAAAAAAAAAATATTTTACCCTCCTTTTTTACTTCTTTTCATTAGGAAAGTGATCCAAAATAACACAGACTAGCTGGGCACGGTGGCTTATGCCTGTAATCCTAGCTACTCAGAGGCTTAGGCGGGAGGATCACTGGAGCTCAGGAGTTTGAGACCAGCCTGGGCAACAACATATCAAGACCCCATCTCAAAAATAATGTATATCAAAATAACATAGACTAGGCTGGGCACGGTAGTTCGCTCCTGTAATCCTAGCACTCTGGGAGGCCAAGGTGGGAGGATCACTCAAGGTCAGGAGTTCTAAACCAGCCTAAGCAAGAGCGAGACCCCCATCTCTACTAAAAATAGAAAGAAATTAATTGGCCGACTAAAAATATATAGCAAAAATTAGCCGGGCATGGTGGGGCATGCCTGTAGTCCCAGCTACTCAGGAGGCTGAGGCAGAAGGATCACTTGAGCCCAGGAGTTTTAGGTTGCTGTGGGCTAGGCTGACGCCACAGCACTCTAGCCTGGGCAACAGAGTGAGATTCTGTCTCAAAAATAAATAAATAAAATAACATAGACTAATATTATTGGAAGCAGGAAGTCTGAATATTTTGTCATTTGTCACCAGATTTGATTGAGGGCATTTTGAAGATGTTGGAATTATTGGTTAAAATGGAATTTGGGGACTTACAGATTTCATTTAATATAACTCTGTGATAACAAAAACAGATTTCTAGCTGTGTAAGTTTTTCACTGTTTTAACCTTCAGCCACTATATGAGCTAGGAAAAAATGGTCAGGATTCACTTTTTGGTGACAGCTTTATTGAAATACAATTATCATACCATACAATACCATTCAGGATTTGATTTGATTTTGTTTTTGTTTTTTTGAGACAGAGTCTCATTCTGTTGCCCAGGCTGGAGTGCAGTGGTACCATCATAGCTCACTGCAGCCTCAAACAACTTGGCTCAAGTGATCCTTCTACCTCATCCTCTTAGGTAGCTGAGACTACAGGTCCACACTACCGCACCTAGCTAATTTTTTTATTTTTTGTAGAGAAGAGATCTTCCTGTATTGTCCAGACTGGTCTCAAACTCCTGGCCTCAAGCATGGAAGCTCTGCCACCTTGGTTTCCCAAAGTGGTGGGTTTACTGGCGTGAGCCACGGCACCCAACCCAGGATTATTATTTACTCACCTCTAAATGTCACTGATTTTCACAAAATTTCTAACTATATACTTCAGATAACCAGATTCTGGAATAATAATATGTAACTAGCTTCATAAGATGCATGTTTGACAATGAGTTGAAAACTGAGTTTGGGGTTCAGGTGCTGGTAAGGGAGTTCTTTGTACATGTGAAGGCCCTTTCAGGGAATCTTCTGAATAATCAGAATTGCAGGTGCTGAATCTTTGCCATTTGTTTATCAACAGAAGTATTTCCTTCTAAAATTATGTATGCTGTTTTTTGGTAGGCAACAAAGAAAAAACAAGGAAAAAGCCTTCTTAAAAAACCAAAGGGGAAGAAGAGAAACAGAAAGGTAAAGAAACAGGCTGCATTAGTCCTAACAAAAGATGACGTGGCCCCTAAAATTAGTGGTGTGCCAGAGAAGACACCTGGATCCCAGAAGGAAAAGACCCCGGAGCATGGGAAGAAGAAGAAAAAACATGGCAAAGTAAAAGCCCAACTTGAAGTCACAAATGAATCTGAAGATGAAATTCCACAGCTAGTACCAATAGAAACAGCTCCAGCTAAAGAAAATGTAGAGGTATTTGTTACTAATATTTAATATTTGTAATGGATTGGTTCTGTGGCCACTGTGTACCAGGCAGGCACTGTACTGAGCGATGAGTGATGGAAGATACTAGGGTGAAACTACAAGAATTAGGAAGATAGTTAAAGTGATTTACTTTCTCTTTTTAAATGCTGGTGTGATGTATAGTAAACACAACCTTTTGTGTAACTTGGGGTCAAGAAAGACTTGGCCATATTTGTAATTTTAAGAAACATTGCTTGTGGATTTGAAAAGCAGACCAGGGCCAGGCTTGGTGGCTCATGCCTGTAATCCTGACATTCTGAGAGTACAAAGCAAGAGAATTGCTTGAGGTTAGGAGTTCAAGACCAGCCTTAGCAACACAGTGAGACCCCATCTCTACAAAAAAATAGAAAAATTAACGAGGTGTAGTGGCAAGCACCTGTAGTCCCAGCTACTTAGGAGGAGGATCTCTTGAGCCCAAGACTTTGAGGTTGCAGTGAGCTGATTACACCACTGCCCTCATGTCCAGGCAACAAAGTGAGACCTTATCTTCAAAAAAGTAAAGGCCGGCGTGGTGGCTCACGCCTGTAATCCTAGCACTTGGGAGGCCAAGGCGGGCAGATTGCTCGAGGTCAGGAGTTCGAAACCAGCCTGAGCAAGACCAAGACCCTGTCTCTACTATAAATAGAAAGAAAATTAATTGGCCAACTAATATATATAGAAAAAAAAATTAGCCAGGCATAGTGGCACATACCTGTAGTTCCAGCTACTCGGGAGGCTGAGGCAGCAGGATTGCTTGAGCCCCAGGAGTTTGAGGTTGCTGTGAGCTAGGCTGATGCCACGGCACTCACTCTAGCCTGGGCAACAAAGTGAGACTGTCTCAAAAAAAAAAAAAAAAAAGAAAAGTAAAGAAAAAACAGGCAGAAGTGTGGGCAAATGGTTCCATCTCTAAAGGTAAATCCTGGATGGGCACACAATTAGGGCAAACTTGGGTACTGGATTCTGCCTCTAAAACCTCTCCAGCATCCCACCTCCAGTGATCTTTACAAAAATCTGGCTTCATTTTGGAGAAGATACTTTAAAGGAACTGAGTTTATCTCTTTATTTTTTTTTTTTTTTTTTTTTTTTTTGAGACAGAGTCTCACTTTGTTGCCCAGGCTAGAGTGAGTGCCGTGGCGTCAGCCTGGCTCACAGCAACCTCAATCTCCGGGGCTCAGCGATCCTTCTGCCTCAGCCTCCCGAGTAGCTGGACTACAGGCATGTGCCACCATGCCCCTAATTTTTTTTTTTGATATATATATTTTAGTTGGTCAATTAATTTCTTTCTATTTTTGGTAGAGACGGGGTCTTGCTCAGGCTGGTTTCGAACTCCTGACCTTGAGCAATCCGCCCGCCTCGGCCTCCCAAAGTGCTAGGATTACAGGCGTGAGCCACCGCGCCCGGCCCCTATCTCTTTATTTTTTTGGTAACGTTTCTACTCATAGTATATGTACAATTCTTAGAGGAAGATCTCTCAAAAATAAAGGGGTAATAAGTCCTTGTGAGACCAGAGAGTTGCTCTCACCATGTGTTCAGAGAAGAACTCACTTGCCCCTCTGGGCAGACTGTGCCTGGGTGTGGAGCATGGCCTTCAGTAGGTGGGACGCCTGGTCCCAGGGCTGTTACTGCACTACACCTGCTTTATGTGTTGTGGTTACAGTAAGCCTTGAAATGTTCATCTAAAGTGCCCCCAAAGTGCTACTGAATTTTTTAATATATCGAAATTAATATAAGGTATATAAATTGTTTTTTAGAAAAAGTAAGCTGTTATTGTGGGACTGGTGGATGGTGTGTTGGAAATTAGAGCGGAAAAGCTTAGCTGAGCAGATGGTATATAGCAAAAGCCTTAGAAGTGTTTGTGCCCTTTGAACCCATCCAGGGCAATAATACACTAGAAATACTGCTCAGTGAGAGTTTATAGTGCTTGGAAAACACTAATAATTGGGGAAAGGGCATAATACTCAGCTTTTAAATACTCATGGGGAAAGGTGATAAATCATAGTTAATATATTGTGATAGGGTTATTAGGGAGTTATTTTTGGTGTTCAGGTTTTCCATGATGATAGAACCTGTAGGTTTTTGTTTGTTTTTTTTTTTTTCAGTTAGAGTCTCACTCTGTTGCCTGGACTAGAGTGCTGTGGCATCAGCCTAGCTCACAGCAACCTCCAACTCCTGGGCTCAAGCGATCCTCCTGCCTCAGCCTCCTGAGTAGCTGGGACTACAGAGGCATACACCACCATGCCCAGCTAATTTTTTTCTTTTCTTTTTTTTTTTTTTTTTTTTTTTTTTTTTTTTTGAGACAGAGTCTCACTCTGTTGCCCAGGCTAGAGGAGTGCCATGCATCAGCCTAGCTCACAGCAAGCTCAAACTCCTGGGCTCAAGCAATCCTGCTGCCTCAGCCTCCCGAGTAGCTGGGACTACGGGCATGTGCCATCATGCCCGGCTAAATTTTTCCATATATATTAGTTGGCCAATTAATTTCTTTTTACTTAAAGTAGAGACAGGGTCTCACTCTTGCTCAGGCTGGTTTCGAACTCCTGACCTCGAACGATCCGCCTGCCTCGGCCTCCCAGAGTGCTAGGATTATAGGCGTGAGCCACTGCACCTGGCCCAAACCTGTAGTTTTATATTTACTCAAAAACAAACTTTGGTTTTGTTGGTTGTATTTTGTCTTTAAAACCTACTTCTGTATGAGAAGGAGTACCGTGCTAGAATGTTGTCCTTGGATTGGCAGCAGCAGACACCTGGGTTGCTTGGCAAACCCAGGATTTCTCGCATGTGAAACACTCCCCTCAAACAAAGAGCCTCTGAATCTAACTTGGAGAAATCGGTTTTTCTAACAGGCACCCCAGTTTGTTCTTACAGGTAGTTTGGGAAACCCCTGCCCTAACCCACCTGCAAGGGATTTACAGCTGAAGGTGAAGAGGAGTCAGGATTTGGTGACAGGGTTTCAGCTATGCTCCTGGCGGTTGCTTCCAGGAGGAACTGCCCTTCACCATAGGGAAAGATGGTATTTCCTCTGATTGGACCAGGGACACCCGGGGTCACTTTCACAATCCTTAATAATGAAATACAGCTACCTTTCAGAACATCTGCAAAGCAAAGAAATAAAAAACGAAAGCCCATTTCTTCATCCTGCTGAGGCATACCTTTGGAGGGTTCATTAATAAAAACAATAATTCTTGGAATTAGATCGTCAAGTTATCTGATTTTTTTTTTTCTCCCCCATACTTAATTTTCTTTTTTTTCTTAGACTCAAAAACATGCCACGGGAAAGAAGTCGCCAAGAAAGAGTCCTGGTCCCAACACACCTCGTGGGAAGAAGAGAAAGGCCTTGCCAGCATCAGAAACCCCGAGTGCTGTGGAGCCTGAGACCCCAGGTAAAAGGCTGGGGAAGAAGCCGAAAATCATAGAAGAGGTGGAGAAAGAAAGACACCCTTTGAAGGTGAAAAAAGACCCAAGACAGACACCAAAAAAGGCAGAGGCCAAGGTCTTTGCCACTTCTACTAAATCTGCAAGAAAGGCTCCCCATACCCAGAAAGGATTGCCCAAAAAACCCAAAGTCCCTCAGTCATCCTAAAGTCAGCGATACAACCAGAGGTAGCATCAAAGCTACCTGAAAAGCTTTTTAGAAACACTTGCATCCTGACCCCCCTTGCAGCCTTCTCCAAGCATGAGACCTAGACTCAAATATTTTTTACAGCTTCCATAGGTAATTTTGATGTATGTTCCTGGGTGTAAAAACCAGTGGTTTGAAGTAAAATCTATTTTTTAATTATTGTTCTGTGTATTTGCTAGTATAATATATAATAGAGTGCCTCTCTGTGGTTGCGTTTATTATTAAAGTATAACATTGCTTCTGGCATTCCAAATCTTGGTTTAACTTGAATTCCTGTGATTTGACTTTTTCTCTTTTCCTCTTACCCATTTATTCACATGGGCTCCAATACCCTAGTTTGTGCATACATTCCCAGAGTGGGCCAGGGGGGCTCGCTGCATGAGAACATGCTGTGGAACTTGGGATTAATATGGGTTTCCTGGCCCTCATCCTGAGATGGTTTATCTTGGTGGGTCTTGGCGGTACTCAGCCAAGCTTATGAATCTCTGAATTAGCATGCATATGGTAAGGGAAATTAACATGGTGCCATTTATACAGCCACTGAATTGGATCCTGTCTGCTAGAGGCAAGAACCTATATCTTCCATAGCCTTCTCATCTTCCACATTGCTCCTCACCCTATAGAGGTTTACTGATATATGCGAACTCTAAGATGGGAAGCTTGGGAGATGGACTGTTTAAGTTTGCACAATTGTTTAATATATTTTGAGGCAGTAAATGACTTCTTCAGTATTTGTCCTTTCATAGAATTTGAATTGGGGTATGCATCCCTAGTAGTCAGTGATGTGTTCACTCTAGTACAGGAACAAGCTTGCATGCAAAGGTTCAAGTGGGCTATGCTTTCAGAGATCATGTGGTTCAGAAACAAGTAATAAAGAATAAAAGGTTTATTTAATAAAAGTTCCCTCAAGTTGGAGGAGTCCAGATTGCTTCTGCTGTTTAGTAGCACAAATTAAATTGTAATGTTATCTTTTTAAATTAGAAAAGCCTCTAAAATACAAAACTATGTTATTGTGTACTGTCAGCCTTCTAAAAATGAATATGCATTTAATGTGTTATAGGGGTTTAGCTTAATTGATTTGTTTTCCATAGAAACTAGGGTCTCTGGGAAGACAGACTTGTTTCACTGATTCAAAGGTCCACTGTTTTGTGTAGGACAAACCCACATACATAATGGGGACCTGTTCTCTGCATGACAGTTGTCCAGGGATAGCTGTTTGGTTTCCTTAATCCTATCCTCTAGCCAATTAAAGATTTTACAACACCAAGCCATTCTTGCTTGTTTTTAGTCTTAATACAACACTAGTGTTAACCTTCCTGTTCCTGCATCTACTTTTACTCTAATATTCTCAGCATTCTCTATGCTGAAAAAAGCAGGCTTCAAAGTCTCAAGCAAGATGCCAGTATTACCTAACAAAGCCTATTTTATAGTAACTGCTGACAAATACAGTTTTTTTAATACCGTGCTAAATGTGAAGAAACAGAATGGCTGGACACTTAGTATGGTTTGTACTGAAAGTACTGCTTTTGCACCATGATAAAGTCGAAAAATCCTAAGTCAAATCATCATCTGTACTAGGTTTCCAAGACTGAAGAGTGTAGGGCACACACTCCTAGCTGGCTGGTAGGGCTCTGAGCTGATGGTCTTCCCAGGGCCAAGAGCATGACTGGAAATCTGTGCTGCAGTAAATCACGTTATCTTGTGGATTGAGTATCAGGCTGATGTTTCTTTGGAAGTCATGGCTGGGTTTCTGGAATTTATCCCCCGGACTGGGGAGATCTAATGGACAAAACCAGATCTGGTGGGAGAAAAGTGAATGCAACATTTTTGTTTTAAGGAAGTATTTGATTTTTAGTGAATTTGTAGTTTAGGAAGTATAATAAGCATCAAATTCAATATTGAATGTCTTGAATATGTTTAAGTCAATCCAAGTGTTTATTAAAGATGATATATTTCATTCTCCTTGAGAAATATTAAAATGAAGGTACAAAGAAGTTGTTTAGTGTCATACTATCTTATCACCTGATTGAAAGCCCTTTCTCTGCTTTCAGTACATGGGTGTTTAAGGGCAAAGAAGTCTTGACGTGTAATTGAATATTTAAAGGTGCTGCACTCCTTACTTGCCAACCCCCTTGAACTGATGCTGTTTTCCCTGCTTACAGTTAGGGTTAATATTTGTACATCAAAATTACCAATTAGAATTTTATGACCCATGAGAACCCCTCATCAGTCCTTGGATCCTAGTTTGATAAAAGACTGTAAAAGTTTCGGGAGATCATTTCAGTATAATGGTCCTGTAGAGGGAAAATGGCATAATTAGGTGATTGCATTTAACTCCAGATTAAAACCTCTCAGTTCAACATTATTCAAGTGATTAATATCTCCTGTTTATATAACTCACTTGGTGCATTGTCAATACTTAAGTTACAGGAAACATCAGGACATAATTTTTTTTTTTTTTTTGAGACAAGAGTCTCACTCTGTTGCCATGGCTAGTGGTGTCAGCCTAGCTCTCAGCAACCTCAAATTCCTGGGCTCAAGCAATCCTGCTGCCTCAGCCTCCCGAGTAGCTGGGACTACAGGCATGCACCACCATGCCCGGCTAATTATTTCTATATATTTTTAGTTGGCCAATTAATTTGTTTCTATTTTTAGTAGAGACGGGGTCTCGATCTTGCTCAGGCTGGTTTCCAACTCCTGACCTCGAGCGATGCTCCTGCCTCGGCCTCCCATAGTGCTAGGATTACAGGCGTGAGCCACCACACCTGGCCCAGATGTCTTTATAATAGAAAAAACATCTGCACCCGAATTTTTATGGCAGCACAATTCACTATTGCAAGGACATGGAAACAACCCAAGTTTCCTTCAGTTCATCAGTGGATTATTAAAATTTGGTATATGTTTACAATGGAAAGGACAGCAAGCCAGCACCGCTTATATTATCCTGGACTGAGCTTAAGCCCATTATCCAGTGAGGTGACACAAGATCAGAATAATAGGCTTCTCATGTACTCGCCATCAAATTGGTACTGACTGATTAACACTATGGTGCTCAAATGGTGGTGGTGTTCACCAGGGATTCAGGGGTAAAAGGGGTAGTTCCACATCTGAGGGATGTGGTGAGCAATGTGGAGGGGAAGGGCATGCCTCTAACCCTTGCAAGGGAAAAGCAAAGATATAAAATGTAACCAAAATGTTAAAAAAAAAAACCCAAATACCTGTGGGGTGGGGTGGGGGAGGGGGAGGAGGGGATGGGTATATACATACACAGTGAGTGTGATGCACACCATTTGGGGGATAGACACGCTTGAAGCTCTGACTCAAGGGAGAAGGGGAGGCATGGGCAATGTACGTAACCTTAACGTTTGTACCCCCATAATATGCTGGAAAAAAAAAGTGGCAAGACAATTTAATGGGGAAGAGACAGTCTTTTTAACAAATAGCTGTGGGACAACTGGATATCCTACACACAAAAGAATGAAGGTGGGCCCTTACCCAAAGCCATATACAAAAATTAACTCAAAAGGGGTCACAGAACTAAATGTAGGAGCCTAGATGCTTAGAAGAAAACAAGTAAATCTTTATGACGTTGGGTAAGCTACTGGCTTCTTATCTATGACACAAAAAACACAGGTGAAAAATTATAAAATTAGATTTTATCAAAATTAAAAACTTGAGTTTCAAAGGACACTATTTAAAAAAGTGAAAAGACAGCTCACAGAATTGGGCAAAATATTGCCCAAAATACTATTCTCTGATAGAACTGTACCGTAGAATTTTTTTATATTTGTTTTCTGTGCCTTGTTGTTGTTGTATGCCTGTAGTCTTGTTTGTGTGATATTTGGCCGATGCGGTGATTGTTGCTCGCTTTGTTTATGTGTTTTTGCTGAGCGAAGAGCAAGATCTTTCTTTTCTTTCTTTAATAAATATATAATTGATTAAGAATCAATATTAATGTTAAGTGTGTTTTCACGCTGAAACTCTAGTACAAAAAAATCATTTGGGCGGGATGGTGTGTGTTCTGGTATCTCTGTTTTGTTTGGAGGCGGAGGCGAGGGAGGAGTGAGGCCCAGGTGCGCTCTCTCGCGGCTTGACTGTGAGCATAGAGCTGACGCACGGCACGTGGGCAGAGCTCTATCTAGCCTGGGCAAATCGAGCTGGATGTGCTCAAAAAGAAAGAAGAGATGTCTTACGATGCTAGAGACAATAAAAGAGGGCAAAAACACTAGCACGCTCTCATGTAATGCAGCACAAGGATCGCTGGAATAGCAGATTGTTCAAAGGGGTGAAGTATGACGTGAGATGGCCAAAAAGCCAAAAGGTGCTCAACGTCAATCCTCTTAAAGGAAAGATACAAAAAAAGTGAGAATAAAGCGCAACCAACTGATAACTGTGCATCGAAACAGCAAGGTGAGAGCCGCGAGCGGGCGGTGGCTCACGCTGTGAATGCGTTGAGGCAGCTTGGGGGGAGGCGTGAGGCGGGCGGATTGCTGGAGGGTCGGGGTTCAAAACGCAGCGCTGAGCAAGAGCACGACCGCGCTCTCTGACTGTAAAGGAAGATTAATTGGCGCAACCTAAGTTGTCTATATATGTAAAGAATTGCCGGGCGATGGTGGTGCATGGCTGTGGTCGCCCAGTACGTCGGAGGCTGAGGCGGAGGAATGCGTTGAGCCGGGAGTTTGAGGTTGCGTGGAGCGAGCACGGCCACGGCAGTACTCTAGGCGCGCGTCAGAAGCCCAAGCGAGAGCGTCGTCTCAGAGAAAAAAAAAAAAAAGAAAAAAGAAAAAAAGAAACTAAGGCGCTTTAGCGAGCACTCTGGAAGAGGCCGAGATTTGCTCCAGTCGAATGAGTTGAAACCAGCCTGAGCCGGGGCGGGTGGCTCTGACGCCTGGTTAATCGCTGCTCTTGGAGCGCGAGGCGGGCGGCGGAGAGTTGCTCAAGTCGCAGGAGTTCAAAACCAGCCTGAGCAAGGAGGGGACCCCGTCTTGACATAATAGAGAAGGAAATTAAATTGGCGCAAGCTGGATTAGTATATTGTAAAGAAGAGTTAGCTGGGCATGGTGTGGACATGCCTGTGTATTCCCAGGCTGATCGGGAAGGGATTTGAGGCAGCGGAAGGATCGCGGGAGCCGCCCAGCAGTTGAGGGTTGCTGGTGAGCGTAGGTGACGCCACTGGCGCTCCCTTCTCTAGCGCCTGGGGCAACCAAAAGCTGAACTCTGTCCGTCCGGAAAAAAAAAAAAAAAACAACCGCCTGAGCAAGGCGAGGGACCCGTGTCCTCGACTAAAGTAGAAATGTAAGTGGCCAATGAATATTTAGTATAGAGAAAATTAGGCCCTGGGCATGGTGGGCACATGCCGTGTAGGGTCTTGTAGCTGACTTGGGAGTGGGCGCGTGGAGCGCAGCGAGGATTGCGATGAGCCCCGAAGTTTGATGTTGCTGGTGGAGCGTAGGCTGACGCCACGCGGGGTAGCCTACTCCTAACCTGGGGCCAACAGAAGTGGCTCTTGGTCTCAAAAACAGAGAAAAGACAACGGAGTAACGAAACGAGGCATGGTGAATAAATGATGCAGGGGCTGCTTTGGAAACCGCCTAGATATTGTCGCAATAGTTAAAGCTAGGAGGAGGGGGAGAGGGAGGGATAAAAAATTACCTAGGTGGGCAGCGAATGTACTGTATTTGGTGGATGGGGTAGATTGAAGCCCCAGACTTTCACCACTGTGCAACATATTCACGTAATAAAACTCCACTTGTACTGCCTAAATCCTATTGGATATGGGATAACAACGGATAACAAAAAAGGTTTACACGGGCCCCTGGCCCAGAGTCGTAGGAGACAGGGTAGAGTTACCATGGTTTAAGCATGTCTATCCTTTCGTGGTCTATACCCAAGCGAGAATTGAAGAACATGACGCAACAGCGGTCGAGGGTGGCTCAGTGCCTGTAATCGCTGTGAGCACGCTCTGGCCGAGGCAAGGGAGGTCACTTGAGCGTCGTAGTTCGAGACAGCGATGGAGCAAGAATGGGAGGACCTGTCTCTATTAAAAATAGAAAAAATTAGCTGGCGATGTGGTGCATGGCCGTGTAATCCAGCTGAGTGTGTGGAGCTGAAGGCCAGGAGAGTGCTTGAGGCCCAGGAGTTGGAGGTTGCTGTGAGCTAGGCTGACGCCACGGCACTCTAGCCTGGGCAACAGAGTGAGACTCTGTCTAAAAAAAAAAAAAAAAGAACGCAGTGATAATGTTAAATCCTTGGTGGGGCATAGTGCTTCTGAAAAAATGCAAACTCCTGCTCCACTGCAGACCTCCTTAGTTGAAATTACCATACACATGCGGGAATTAGGAATCTGTGTTTTTTTTTAATTTATTTTTTTAGTAGAGACAGTGTCTCACTCTTGCTCAGGCTGGTCTTGAACTTCTGACCTTGAACAATCCGCCCACCTTGGCCTCCCAGAGTGCTAGGATTACAGGTGTGAGCCACTGTTCCCAGCCTGGAATCCGTGTTTTTAACAAGAGGCCAGGTGATCCTTATGCTCAGGGAGGGCTGGGAAACATTGGGATAAAGCATAAGGTAGCTGGAAGTTCCCTTCACTTAGTAATAACATCTTGACCAAATCCTCAGCAGGTGAAACCAAATGAATGGCCATCTAAAAGCCAACCAGGGTAAAAGAGATGTTTTAGTTCCTCTTTTTTTAATTATTATTTTTACAGAGGACATTCAAGTGGAGTGCTCTGGGAGTTTATCTCTACTGTCTCCTTGCTGGGAGTTTCTTCAACATTTATAGAATTGAGGCATTTATGTTATTAAATGAATTAAGGGGAAAAAACCGATTTTGATGTGTGAAAATTCCCCCTCCTGAGAATCCATGTTATTTCAGTTATGCAATCAAGAGCCTAATAAAAGAAAGACAGGGCCATGTTGACTATCTTTCTATCTAAGGACTTTTCATCCTGAAGGGCATCTGGCAGTTTCAGGGAACTAGTGCTGATGTTTTTTTCTTTTCTTAAACTAGAAGGCTGCCCGTTATACCTGGTGAGAGAAACTATCATTTCTTTTATAAAATGAGTAGCTTGCTTTTTGCTAGGTGTATTTGAAAGTTATTTAAAGATGCTTTTAAAAATAGTGTTACTTGAGCTGTATCTTTCTATGTAAAGTTATAATTTGGCTTTCTTCAGAGACGGGTCTCTTATTCCTACCCCTTGACTGTTCTACACTATTGGATTTTTCTTCTTGATTTGTACAAGTTTTTTGTATCTTAGGGATCTTAAGTCTTTGTCTTTTATCATTACAAATACAACACATTCTAGCTTTATGATATATTCTAAAATACTTTTTTTCCTTTGTGGTTATGGGTTTCATTTTTTAAAGCAAACTTGCAATATTTTCTTGAAGAAAAACTTAAGATTATATATGCATTCAACCTAAGGAATTGGGAAAATGAGCCAATAAAATGCAGGAAAGTCTTTAAAAGAAGAAAACTAAAAAGAACAAGTTAGAAAACGGACCCTACAGCTAACAGGTAAAACCAAAAGCTGGTTCTTGAAAGAGATGGCAGATCAATAAATGCCCAGAAAGCCAAACGAACACTTACCACCTTTCAGCCAAAACAAGAAAGATAGTCAAGCTTAAAAAAAAAAAAAGTCTAGACAGTTTAGCCCGTATTATAGGGGGAAAAAAAATCAAAGGACATTATAATCAACTTCATATCGACATACTTGTAAAATGGATGTTTTTGAGAACTTTAGTCATCAAAATTGGAGACACAATCCTCAAAACTAATTGGAAGAGAAAAGGGAGGGAGATATAACATTGTACATACAAATCTTGAGTTGTCATTGTAACTAAAAGCTTTCCAATCCATTTTACAAAGTAACACTCTTAGTTCTCAAAGCTAATGACTTTCTTTCCTCCCCTCTTAAGCAAACCAAGTTACATGTTTTTGTTTTTCTTTTTAAGATAAATGTAAAACTAGTACTGCTGTACAAGAAGGAACTTAGGAGAGCTTATTTGAGGAAGGCAAGGATGGTTGAACATTATGAAATCAGTAACAAAATTCATTGTCAGTAAATTAAAGGAAACATACTTAGCCACACATGATTAAAATGTAGCCACAAAACTCACCAGCAATTTATGATTAAAACATCTATGAAGGCCAGGTGTGGTGGTGGCTCATGTCTGTAATCCTAGCACTCTGGGAGGCTGAGGTGGGAAGATCACTAGAGCTCAAGTGTTTGAGACCAGCCTGAGCAAGAGCGAGACCCCGTCTCTACTAAATTAGCCAGGCCAAGTTGTGACTCATGCCTGTAGTCCCAGCTACTCAGGAGGCTGAGGCAGGAGGATTGCTTGAGCCCAGGAGTTTGAGGTTGCTGAGAGCTATGATGACACCACTGCACTCTAGCCTAGACAGCAAAGCGAGACTCTGTCTCTAAACAAAACAAAAAACAAAAAAAATCACATGAAATGCCAGTTACTGAAATGTTGCAATCAAAGGTCAAAACCACCAATATTTGCCATTATTGTCAGTCTGTAATGAAGGACATAGAGCTGACCTCTGTAAGTGAAGACCCACCCTCTCTCCCAAGGGTCCCTAATGACTCGTTAAGGAGATTTAACCTTTCTCCTTGCAGTTGTTCTACTTCAAATCCAATAAAAACCCAAACTGGAACAGGTGTGTTGGGGTGATGCAGGCAACTTGAAGTGAATGCTCTGCTGGAAAAGGAGGTATGTCAAAACAGCCAGGAAAACGTGAAAAGACTGGTTAAGGGCAGAAATGCCTCCAACCAGGTTTTAAAACATGGCACAAAGCTCTCCTGTATGGTACAGAAAGTACATGCATACAACACGTGGAGCAGAGTGGCAAGTAAAAATAGTTCCATTTGTGGGGAATTTAATACTATCGTGGTTTTTCAAATTAAGGACAGCAAATGCAACACTCAGCATGATGGAGGGATTGTTTTGGGGGGTGGAATGTAGAACCATATTTCTGGCAATGTATTGTACAAATTCTAGAAAAACCTGAGACTTGATAATTTTGTGTTGGGCCAAGTTCTTTTCATCCTTAAGTGATAAAGAGTGGTAACTGAATATAGCAAGGTGTACTCAGATTTTCACTCAGTAAATGTTTTTTGCCTGTATGTGTTAAGAAAAACAATTGATTTGGGAGTTGGCTATTAACCTCATTCATTAGGAGCCAAGACTTTTCACATGGGTTCTGCTATATTACTATAATGCCAAGCAACCCATTTCTCTGTTAAAAGATCAACCAAGGCCGGACACACGGTGGCTCACACTTGTAATCATAGCACTCTGGGAGGCCGAGGCGGGAGGATCGCTCAAGGTCAGGAGTTCGAAACCAGCCTGAGGAGGCTGAGCGAGACCCCTGTCTCTACTATAAATAGAAAGAAATTAATTGGACAACAAAAAATATATAGCAAAAATAATCGGGCATGGTGGCACAAGCCTGTAGTCCCAGCTACTCAGGAGCCTGAGGCAGGAGGACTGAGGATTGAGGCTCATTGAGCCCAGGAGCTTGAGGTTGCTGTGAACTAGGCTGATGCCATGGCACTCACTCTAGCCCAGGCAACAGAGTCGGACTCTGTCTCAAAAAAAAAAAGAAAGAAAAAAAAAAAGAACTTACAATCACCAATTCTGACCTTCTGAGAGTCTCCTTGGAGGGGAACTTGGATGCTTGTAGAAACCAGCCCTTTGAATTCAGGGGTCCTCAAACTTTTTAAACAGGGAGCCAGTTCACTGTCCCTCAAACCCTTGGAGAGTACGCACTGTGGGCCCGGCATCGGTCAGCTGCTAAGCAGGACAGGCAGCTGAGGCAAAAACACCTGGGGGAGGGCCGGGCATGGTGGCTCATGCCTGTAATCCTAGCACTCTGGGAGGCCAAGGCGGGAGGATCGCTCAAGGAGTTTGAGACCAGCAAGAGCGAGACCCTGTCTCTACTATAAATAGAAATCAATTGGCCAACTAAAAATATATATAGGCAAAATTAGCCGGGCATGGTGGCGCATGCCTGTAGTCTCAGCTACTCGGGAAGCTGAGGCAGGAGGATCGCTTAAGCCCAGGAGTTTGAGGTTGCTGTGAGCTAGGCTGACGCCACGGCACTTTAGCTCGGGCAACAAATTGAGACTCTGTCTCCAAAAAAACACCCGGCAGGACGGATAAATGTCCTAGGCTGTAGTTTGAGGACATCTGAATTACACCCTCAGGATCCCGGAGAGGGTGAACCTGGCTGTGATTAATAACACATAGTAGGTACAATTCACAGCCAAGGAGAAAGGTTTCTATTTTTCTTTTGATATTTCTGATCTCTAGTACTTTTTTTCTTCCCTTAAACACTACAGGAAAACAAATCACTATGTACCAGCCTGTCCGAGTTTATGAGAGGGTCCGGCTGCTGGGACGGCAGGAAGATCTGCGATGCTTGTCTCTGTTTGAGTGTCTGCTGCTTTCCTGCCTGGGGTTATTGGTCGTGGCCCTGGGAATAGCAGTCCTTCTACATAACCCCTCTGACACCATGGCTTTCTCTACTGGCTTAATGACAATAGGCATAGGCGTTGCTTTTGTCACCTTTACTGGAGCCATAGCCATGCGTAGAGTCAACCAGAATATGCACTTTGTCATGAGGCAAAGATCTGGGGCCAGAAGGAGGACGGAAAATGCCCCAAGCACTGCAGAGCCTTTACTGGATGAGTCACCCATAGCCAACACTTGGCTGTAACCCTATGTCTTTGAGCCTCTGGAACTTTTAGGTCTCCTAACCATTGCTTTTAAATTCAAATAAAATTTGGCTTTTTATTTTTTCAATTTAATTTCTCCTTTCTATTTATTGCAAGCAACTACTTATTATACTTAACCTAGAGTGCACACATAGAGAATCAATAACGATCTAGAAAGAAATTCTTTTTTTTTTTTTTTTTTTTGAGACAGAGTCTCGCTTTGTTGCCCAGGCTAGAGTGAGTGCCGTGGCGTCAGCCTAGCTCACAGCAACCTCAAACTCCTGGGCTCAAGCGATCCTCCTGCCTCAGCCTCCCGAGTAGATGAGACTACAGGCATGCACCACCATGCCCAGCTAATTTTTTCTATATATTTTTAGTTGGCCAATGAATTTCTTTCTATTTATAGTAGAGACGGGGTCTCGCTCTTGCTCAGGCTGGTTTCGAACTCCTGACCTCGAGCAATCCGCCCACCTCTACCTCCCAGAGTGCTAGGATTACAGGCGTGAGCCACCGCGCCCGGCCAGGCATATGAGATTTTAATTGCTGCAGTTTTCTCTTCAGTCAGTGGTTTCAGCTCCAGGTCTGTTTGCTTTTGTAGTTTTTGTATTATGTTCATAGTCTTATTCACAGTAGCACAAATGCAGCTCTTAGTCTCTGCTCAACAGCAACTGCTTTAAAGCATGCACACAAAGTTTGATATCGAGACTTTATTGCCGACAATTCCTTTAAGAGTGAAACTGGATTTTTCTTGCCTGCTGAATCGGGATGATTAGTTTTGATTTCATATTCCAGCCTGTACTGAATATAATCCAAATCAGAGTCAGCTTTCTGGAACATCAGTTCCAGCTTATGGACCTCTGCCTCCATGTTGAATAGCTGACATTCCTCAGACTGCGGTGGCACTTAATCCGCTCAAATTTGGCTTCTTAAAAGCTTGTTTCCCTTTCACAGTTGCAAAGATGTGGAAACAACCAAAGTGCCCTTCCGTACATGACTGGATTAATAAAATGTGGTATATGTATACCATGGAGTACTATTCAGCTCTAAGAAACAACGGTGATATAGCACCTCTTGTATTTTCCTGGATAGAGCTGGAACCCATTCTACTAAGTAAAGTATCCCAAGAATGGAAAAATAAGCACCATATGTACTCACCAGCAAACTGGTATTAACTGATCAGCACCTAAATGGACACATAGGAATTACATTTATAGGGTGTCGGGCAGGTGGAGGGGAGGGGATGGGAATATACACACACACAGTGAGTGCGATGCGCACCCTCTGGTGGATGGACACGCTTGAAGCTCTGACTCCAGGTGGGGGGCAAGGGCAATATACGCAACCTTAACCTTTGTACCCCCATAACATGCTGGAAAAAAAAAAGCTTGTTTCCTGGTGTGGTAATGTCCTTGTGCCCTATGGCATTAGTTTCTCTCTGCAGAAGTCCTTCAAGTAATGATGATGCTTCTCAGATTCATGCCATCTGGCCGACCAGTGTCCCCTTAGGTGCTGCCCCTACCAACCTTCTCGTTCTCTCCCGTCACTCAAGGTCTAGCTGCTGCCTCTCTGGCTTTTCACGGGGACTCCTGCAGATGGTAGGTGCCCTGATCCAATCCTCCTCACCTGCGATGTCCTCTTCTCTCCCCATCCATTGCCCACTTCAAAGGTCATGTCCTATACCTGTCATCGCTGTCACCTGTGAGACCCCAACATATCACTTCAGACTCCCCATTCTCTGGCCAGGCGCGGTGGCTCACGACTGTAATCCTAGCACTCTGGGAGGCCGAGGCGGGAGGATTGCTTGAGCTCAGGAGTTTAAGACCAGCCTCAGCAAGAGTGAGACTTGTCTCTAATAAAAAACAAAAGGATGCCCCATTCTCTCAGCAGCACACTCCACTTCCTTCGCTTTCTTTGTTTTGTGAGAGACAGGGTCTCGCTCACGCTGGGTAGAGTGCAGCGGCGTCATCATGGCTCAAGCAATCCTCCTGCCTGCCTCAGCACCTCATGTAGGTGGGACTACAGGCACACACCACTACTCCCTGCCTGGCTAATTTCTTCTCTTTTTGGTAGAGACAGGGGTCTCACTCTTGCTCAGGTTGGACTCGAACTCCTGATCTCCAGGGATCCTCTGGCCTTGGCCTCCCACAGTGCTAGGATTACAAGTGTGAGCCACCGCACCCAGCCCTTCATTTTCTCTTGCAACCCTCACCTGACAATCCTCCCGTGTGGTAGACCTGTCCAACCCTCTGATGCCGTGGTCTCTCCCTCACACAGTGCCTTGACTTTCTTGTCCCTTTTGGTCTCCCTCTTGGAAATACCCCCAACCTGTCACCCCCTTCTAATTCTACATGCCTAGTGACTTATGAACCTGATTTAACCAAACTATCCACTATGTACATGAATCATATGAAGTAAACATGTTGCAGCAGATCATAATTCTTGGATTGACTGGATTCCTATACTTTTTATCAATGTATTGGCACCACGGTTATAATAGATAATCAAATACTTGTTGAATGACAGACTGAATTTTTTATATATATATATATATATATATATATATATAATTTATTTTTTAAGAGATAGGGTCTCACTCTTTCACCCAGGGTGGAGTGCAGTGGTGTCATCATAGCTCACTGCAACCTTGAATACCTGGGCTCAAGTGATCTTCCTGCCTCAGCCTCCCAAGTAGCTGGGACTACAGGTACACACCACCATGCCTGGCTAAGTGTTATTTATTTTTTGTAGAGAATGGATCTCACTATGTTGCTCAGGCTAGCCTCAAATTTCTGGCCTCAAATGATCCTCCCACCTCAGCCTCCTAAAGTGTTAGGATTACAGGCATGAGCCACCAGGCTGAGCCAGTAATATACTTTTAATTAATTGGATTTGAAGCAATTTTAGAAATCAACTAAACCAACTCTCCTATTTTACTGGTGAGGAAAATAAGACCAGGAAGGTTACACACTCTGCCCAGTGTCTTCCAGCCATCCCGAGTCAGCCCAGCAACTAGAACCTGGGCTTGCTTTCTGGTTCTCAGTCCAGGCTCATTTAACTTTATCACACTTTTTGCAATATTTGGTTCAATAGCATTGTAAGTTTTAGAATACTGAGATTCATTTTACTTTGTTACACCAAGATAGAATTTCCAGTTGGTTCTTGAATTTGATATTATTTAACCAGAAAAGTAAGAGGTTTTTTTTGTTTTTGAGACAGAGTCTCACTTTGTTGCCTATGCTAGAGTGAATGCCGTGGTGTCAGCCTAGCTTACAGCAACCTCAAACTCCTGGGCTCAAGCGATCCTGCTGCCTCAGCCTCCTGAGTAGCTGGAACTACAGGCATGCGCCACCATGCCCGGCTAATTTTTTCTGTATATATTAATTGTAAAGATGGGGTCTTGCTCTTGCTCAGGCTGGTTTCAAACTCTTGACCTCGAGCAATCTGCCCGCCTCAGCCTCCCAGAGTGTTTGTCTGATGTGGTTTCCTTGACATGTCCAACTGCTATTGTCACCAGTGAGTGTATGTATAACTAAAATCTGCATGAGCTTTGTAGATTGTACCCATGTTAATTTCTTGGTTTTGATACGTTACATTGGGGGAGGCTGGGAGAAGGGCCTACAAAACTTCCCTATGCATTTCTTGTCACCCTCCTAAGAATTGGTAATTATTTCAAAATAAAAAGTTAAAATAATTTTAAATAGTCTGTATTTTGGTACTATTTAAATTTTAAAAACCCACAAAACCAATGTTAGTTTTTCTAATTTTACATTTGAAAGGGACCTCAAAATGTGATTGTAATTGTAAGATCTAGCCACAGGGTGTCACCAGTGGTCTGTCAGAGCCCTCCAAAAATTTTATGTCATTTTCGTCTCCAAAGTTAAGGGTTGTTTTGATGAAGAAAGGACTTGGCTATCTTTAAGAATAAAGAATATAAACCTGCCATATTTATTTTTTTTCTTTTTTTTTATTTATTATTTTTTAATTTTTATCTTTCATTTTTTTTTCTTTTTTGATAAACACCTCAGGTTTTCAAAACCTGCCATATTTAAACAAGCTTTTTTTTTTCTGATTGGGAGAACTGTGAAATCTCAATATCCCACTCTTTTTTAGGAGAAAACTCAGAAAAACCATAAGAAAAGGAATAGAGTTTAAGCGTGGCGAATGAGACGGTCTCTAGAGAAACCTCCCTTCATGAAGTGTGCTCCCTGGACCAGCAGCAATGGCGTGGCCTAAGAATTTGTGACGAGCGCAAAACCGCAGGCCTCACCCCAAACCTACTGAATTAGATTCCTGACAACCCAAACCTTTCTTGCTTTGAAAAAGTAAAAAAAAAAAATACATTCCTAACAAGCACAAAGTGCCGATGCAGCTGACCCACGCACCATGCTTTAAGTAGTGAGAATCTAGAAGACAGCAAAAAATGCTTGCAGGCATGGAAAATATCAGCTGTTGCCAATACAATAAAACCTTCCTAACTTGGAGCTTGCTAAATCAAAATTATAACTTTAATCTGAACTGGATCAAATATTACAAACTGCTAGTTTATATAGCATGCATAATTACGCCCACAGAATGTTTGCACATGCATGTGTACACACATGAAATATATACAATTTTTTTTTCCAGAGCCAGGGTCACACTATGTTGCCCAGGCTGGTCTTGAATTCCTGGGCTGAAGTAGCTAGAATAAATAAATAAATATATATATATTTTTTTAATATAAAATATATAAACATGAATTTTATAATATATAGGTTTTTATATATGAAATGTATACATTTATGAATATATAAATCAGACTTTGGCTCTGATATTGCAAAAAATTTTACTGATAACTCATTTTAGAAACTTAGACCATCCCACTTACTGGGAATGCTGATGCAGTAGGATCACTTGAGCCCAGTTTAAGGTTGCAGTGAGCTAACGAGGCCATTGTACTCCAGCCTGAGTGACAGAATGAGACCTTGTCTCAAAAAAAAAAAAGAAAAAGAAACTTAGACCAAAACATAAACAATGATTTACATTGACCTGTTATTTTTTAATTTAAACAATCTATTCAGTTATCAATGATTACTAAATTCAAAGAATATGTCAGATATCATCTCCTTTCTTTAGAATGAGGGTAAGATGCTTAATAGCAGAGAATTTCAAAAGTTACCAGGATACTCTCAGAATATTCTGAAGTAAAGCTTTCAGAGTTTAATGGGAAAACATTTTGCTTTTTTACCCCTAGTACTTTTTGTTTTTTTGAGACACAGTCTTGCTTTGTTGCCTAGGCTAGAGTGAGTGCTGTGGTGTCAGCCTAGCTCACAGCAACCTCAAACTCCTGGATTCAAGCAGTCCTGCTGCCTCAGCCTCCCGAGTAGCTGGGACTACAGGCATGCACCACCATGCCCGGCTAATTTTTTCTATATATATTAGTTGGCCAATTAATCTCTTTCTATTTATAGTAGAGACAGGGCCTTGCTCTTGCTCAGGCTGGTTTCGAACTCCTGACCTTGAGCGATCCTCCTGCGTCGGCCTCCCAGATTACAGGTGTGAGCCACCGCATATGGCCAGTATGAATGGTTTTTATCCACAAAATGAACAGATCCTCATAGCCTGAGCAACATAGCAAGACCCTGTCACTACGAAAAATTTAAAAATTAGCCAGGTGTCATGACTGTGTGCCTGTAGTCCCTCGGGAAGGAGGCTGAGGCAGGAGGATCGCTGGAGCCCAGGAGTGTGAGGTTGCAATGAGCTATGATGATGCCACTGCACTCTAGCCTGGGTGACAGAGACTCTGTCTCCAAAAAAAAAAAAAAAAAAAAAATTAACAGATCCTCAATCATTTAGCTGTTTCCTTACTCCTTCACTGACTTTTAAGAATTTATTTAATTGCCTTCATGAGGCAAATAATTTCCAGAGCTGCTGTAACTGTGGTTTAAAAAAAAAAAACCTGGGCCGGGCGGCTGTGGCTCGCCTGTATCCTAGCTCTTGGTGAGCGAGCGGGGGATTGTCTCAGGTCAGGAGTTAAAAACCAGCTGAGCCTGACGGAAACCGTCTCTACTATAAAAAGAAAGAAATATATTGGCAACTGATATTAATAATTAAAATTGCCGGGCATGGTGGCGCATGCCTGTAGTCCAGCTACTCGGGAGATGAGGCAGGAGGATCGCTTGAGCCCAGGAGGTTTGAGGTTTGCTGTGAGCATTAGGCTGCTGCCATGGCACTCACTCTAGCCTGGGCAACAAGTGAGACTCTGTTCAAAAAAAAAAAAAAAAAAAAAAAAAAAAACCTGCACATAATTACACATGAAATTTACCAGCAGAACTGCTACTTTTGTTTGTAAACACATTTAACACTGTTCAGCTTTGGCTTCCTGGAGGGACAGGGTGCTCCCTGGCCAGTTCCACCTTGTGTGTCCTTCCTTATTTGTCTCTGCCTCTTGTTTCCTGGTCTCTTCTCTGATCTTATCAGTCTCAGTTTTACTTCCTCCTGGGCTGAGCTCTTTTCATACACTGATGTCTTAATTATGCCAGATATCATATTATTTGATAATTGATTTGTTTTCATAACTAAATACAAAATGTCACATGCATTCTTTTTTTTTGAAACAGAGTCTTGCTCTGTCATCCCAGCTTGAGTACGTGGTGTCAGCCTAGCTCACAGCAACCTCAAACTCCTGGGCTCAAGTGATCCTCTGCTCAGCCTCACCCGAGTAGCTGGGACTACAGGTGTTCACCATCACACTCGGCTAATTTTTTCTATTTTTAGTAGAGGTGGGGTTTCACTCTTGTTCAGGCTGGTCTTGAACTCCTGGCCTAAAGTGATCCTCCTGTCTCAGCCTTCCAGAGTGCTAGGATTAGAGGCATGAGCCACAGCAGGAGGCAGCAAAATCTTTATCGAACATCTGTGCTCCCCTCACTATGGGATGCAATGTTAAGAACAAAAGCTATAGCCCCTGCCTGCCCGAGCAAGAGCAAGACCTTGTCTCTACTAAAAAACAGAAAAATTAGCCGGGCGTGGTGGCACGCGCCTGTAGTCCCAGTTACTCGGGAGGCTGAGGCAGGAGGATTGCTTGAGCCAAGAAGCTTAAGGTTGTCATGGAGCTTACGGTCTAGTAAGGGAGGCAAACTTGAATCAAATAATCACACAAACAGATGTAACTTTGAACCTGGGTCAGAGGGACATATCTGTTGCCTGGAGTGCCTCTACTCAGGAGGGCTGACGTAGTCAAGAAAGCTAGGGAAGGTTTCCCTAAGAAAGTGTCACCTGGGGAGGAGGAAGTCCTGAGTTCAGTTTTGGATGTGCTGTGTTGGAAATGCCTCTGAGATAGCCACAGAGAGATAAGTAGGCAGTTCAACTGCAGGGTTGGGGCTCAGAGGACAGATCCAGGCCAGAGAGATAAACAAACATAAAAGTCATCAGTGTGTATAGATGACAGTGGAAGCCAGAAATAGGGATGAGATTGTTTAGGAAAGTAGAGGCTTGGAACAAGAGAGGAACTATACCCGTTTAGTTATTTTCTTTTACCAAAGTCACTGTTGTAGACATCAGTTCCACTCAGTCACAACTGTCTTCAGGTACTAGGACCATTCTTTTATTTTCATTTATCTTTTATTTTCATGTGTTTATTTTTTCCCCTCTCCCACATTTTTCATGAAACCAGGCCCTTTTTTTCTTTTTCTTTTCTTTTTTTTTTAAGGGATAGAATCACTCCTGTCACCCATGCTAGACCAGGCTGGAGTGCAATGGCACAATCAGAGCTCACTGAAGCCTCCAACTTCTGGGCTCAAGCGATCCTCCTGCCTCAGCCTTCCCAGTAGCTGGGACTACAGGTGTGAGCCACCACACTTAGCTAATTTTTTTTTTTTTTATAGAGATGGGGTCTTCTTGCTATGTTGCCCAGGCTGGGCTTGAACTCCTGACTTCAAGCGATCCTCCTACCTGGATCTCCCAAAGTGCTGGGATTGCAGGCATGAGGCACTGTGCCCAGCCCAAGCCCTTTCTTTTGAGGAGCCACCCTTCCTTGTTTTTTAGCAGGGTTGACAGTTTCCCCAGTTGCAGGGGTGAATATGTAAATTTAGGCCCAAGTCTACATTGTGTAACATCCCCCTAGCCCCAGTGAGTGGTTCAGGACAGTCATGTGACACAGTTCTGACCAATGAGAGATTGAGGCCCAGGACATTTTTTGGGAATTTTTGTAAGAGCAAGTCCTTGTGGGGGTTGCTGAGAAAATGCCACTTAAGCTTGGAACTAGGGCACCTATCTTGCCCTGAGGGGAGAGATAACTGATGGACAGAATTGATGGTCTGCCAGAGAATTGATGGACAGAAAGAGTGGGTCCAGATGACACCGAGGTGTCTAACCAAGGGGATTAAGTTACAGGAGCTCGTATATTTCCTCTCTGCCTCAACCTCATTTAATTAGGGCTCACTACTTAATGGTCACTTACACCTAAAAAATTACTGACATATACTTTCGTAAACTCCTTGAAAGAAAATACCAGTAAGGTGCTTGAAAAGGAACATGAAATCACGTGAACTCACCAAAGGCTACATGAATCACTAAGACTTGGGTTCTTCCTGGTTAGAGCAACTTCAGTGCTAGATTTTGACATCCTCCTGGCAAAAAGACGCCAAACCACTGTCATATGTTTTGTGGATAAATTAGCAGACTTTAAATCATTTCCTCTTATGAAAGCTGGGAAAAGCAATGTAGAGGATGCTGTAGAGGAGGTGGAAAAATTAACATCTCAATTGAGAAGCACTTACAAAGCCACACTGAACCTAAGGATGATGAAAACATAGATCTATTTATTTTAGGGAAACAAAACCAGGAGATTTAGGTCCATTCTGTATAAACTTATGTGAAATATATATACATGAAAATTCTGATTGTACTTTTTTCTTCCAAAAGGGAACACACACACACACTCATAGACACATGTGCGCAGCGATATTTAGTTCTCTGCACATACGTATATTGCAGTGGTAATCACAGAAACACCTTTTCTAATGAAGACATGCGCCTTACACGCTACACTGGAAGGATGGATGGTGTTAGGGAGCAGAGCTGGCTGAGGTTTTCGTGTCTGGTTTTGATATTTATAGCATTACCAGATTACCACGATTTTGATTTAGAATTCATTCCCTTTTTGCAAATGTCTTTAAAATCTGTTGATTTAAAATTTTGCTATAAATCAATCTAGAGCAGCAAAGGCATGTTTGTACTAAGTACATTTTATGACAACTTCTGAGAAGGGAAAGAAAAGTGGCTTGGACATGTTCTTGGAAACATTTGTGTGGTTACTCAAGGGAGGACTTGTACATTTTTTATGTTTATGGTTTCTGTGAATTTCCTAATAAGCCTTGGCTCTCTGCCAAATGATATAAAACATGGAGTAAAATGTATGAGCCTTCAGCATGTAAAAAAACCCCAAAAGTTAGCATAATATTGTTGACTAGGCCAGGCGGTGGCTCACGCCTGTAATCCTAGCACTCTGGGAGGCCGAGACAGGCGGATTGCTCGAGGTCAGGAGTTCAAAACCAGCCTGAGCAAGACCCCATCTCTACTAAAAATAGAAAGAAATTAATTGGCCAATTAAAAAAAAATATATAAAAATTAGCCGGTGCCACGGCACTCACTCTAGCCTGAGCAACAAAGTGAGACTCTGTCTCAAGAAAAAAAAAAAAAAAAAAAAAATTAGCCAGGCATGGTGGGACATGCCTGTAGTCCCAGCTACTCAGGAGGCTGAGGCAGCAGGATTGCTTGAGCCCAGGAGTTTGAGGTTGCTGTGAGCTAGGCTGATGTCATGGCACTCACTCTAGCCTGGACAACAAAGTGAGGCTCTGTCTAAAAAAAAAAAAAAAAAAAAAAATATATATATATATATATATATATATATATATAGTTGATTAGTTGAATTAAAGGAGCCTGACAGCAGTTTCCTTTAACTTAGGCAAGGAGTAGCTTTTAATTTGCACTGTTGGTGGTGAGTCATCTGATTTTACATTGTTTACCATTTACATGTCCTGACATTCTCACGTACAAAAAGACAACGATCTAAAAACTACAGTTGTGAAGAGCTGGGTAAAAAAAAAAAAAAGAAATAAAAATAAAACCCTATATCCCAAGAGATCACATTGTCTTGTGGTTTTGCTCCTTCCTATTCTATAGTCCATTTCCCAAATCCACACCTTGTGGGATCTTCAAAGAGCAGGTTTTATTTTAAGCATTTGGAGTGTAGAAACCATAGCTGGTGGATGGTGGGTCCCAGTGAAGTGCCCTGAATGTAGCTGGCACTCGTGTCTGTTGAACAGATGAATGGAACTCTCTGGACTCCATCCACGATCCCAGAAGGACCAATTCCAGGTGGCTCGAGTCCCAGAGGCTGGAGGAAGTAGAAATTATGGGCAGGATTAACTCCATGAGTCAGAGAATGATCAGAGAAAAAAAAAAAAAATCAGCCCAACACATGGAAAACGGACCTGAATTCCAAATTGGGGCAGAAGTAGGGGAAAGAATTGGACCCAGGTCTGGCAAGTGAGCACTCCTCACTTCCCATGTTACTCTACTCTCAGAAGCTACTGTGAATTAGATTCATTCTTTTTCTGCATAATAAATGTGTCATCTCCCCAAATACAAGTGCGATACACTGTGACATTATGCTTAGTATCAAATCTAGGTTAAGAACCAAAGAAGCTCACTCCACAAGCAAAGGTCTGCTTTCCTACCTTTAGTATAGCTCCTAAATATTACTAAAAAAGAATTCTGGCAAGTAAGATATAAAGTCTGTCTTATTATCTCCCAAATATGTTCCTTCTTCCCCTTGGATAACTAGGGCTCTCATACCTTATATTATGATTAGAAGCTTGCTTGTACTTGGTTACATATTTAAATCGATGTCCTGGCAGCCAGCCCATGAGTGGAATTTTTTTTTTTTTTTTTTTTTTTTTTGAGACAGAGCCTCACTTTGTTGTCCAGGCTAGAGTGAGTGCCGTGGCGTCAGCCTAGCTCACAGCAACCTCAAACTCCTGGGCTCAAGCGATCCTGCTGCCTCAGCCTCCCGAGTAGCTGGGACTACAGGCATGTGCTACCATGCCCGGCTAATTTTCTATATATATATCAGTTGGCCAATTAATTTCTTTCTATTTATAGTAGAGACGGGGTCTCGCTCTTGCTCAGGCTGGTTTTGAACTCCTGACCTTGAGCAATCCGCCCGCCTCGGCCTCCCAAGAGCTAGGATTACAGGCGTGAGCCACAGCGCTCGGCCTGAGTGGAATTTTTAACAAGCCATTTTTCAAAGCTGAAGAGCTCTCAATAAATAACAAGAGAAAGTAGGAGGAAGCAAATGCATAATCTATGTAATACCTACAAAGCCAAGTAAAGGAGTCCAGTCAGTATTTTTTTGCCTCTTACACTTTTATGCATTTCATGAAAGCATAATTTGGAATAAATATATCAAGGTGATTCACAGTGATTCTTCAATTCAGAAGAAATGTAATAATATTATACTTTTCATGCTGCACATTTAGATGCTAGCACAGATTTCCAGATGAGTAGTGACAAAATTTAATGCATGTGACCCTGTTAAAGTATCCTGTGGTCATTCGGCAAACAGCACACGTCTTTCACATTTTGAGTGCTATAAAATTGTGGGTTTCCCTTTTCTGGTACAGGTATGTCATATTTACAAACAGATCATTTTTATTATTGGTTCTTATTTGAAGATGGCCCTGTGGTTAGTTCATTTGAGTAGATAATGTGCTGATAATGGTCCCAGATTGTGGGTTTATCTCTTGGGCTCCAGTTTTAAGCTAGAGACTCTCAACCATTTTTCCACCTCAGTGTACATGAGAAATCTGTCACCCTCTCATTGTGCCCCACAGGAAGAGTTTCTTCCAAGGCAGTCACTCCCAGGGGGACTGTGGAGTGTGGCTCACAGTCTCCACCCCAAAGATGGCTGCTGGAAAAAGCTGCCCCCATTCATTATGGAAAGGTAACTGCTATTCATTGAACACATTCTCCGTGCCAAATACTTTACATGTGTAGCATTTAATCCTCACCATGCCAGGGGCATCCTTATCCACATTTAAAGATTAACTCAAAGCTCATGAATTTGCCCATGGTCACTCACATGGGTAAAGAGTGAGTCTGGATTTACATCCGTGTTTCCCAGACTCCAAAGCCCCTCTCTTTCCACCACCCCGCTACCTACTTATATCTTTTTTTTTTTTTGAGACACAGTCTTGCTCTATCACCCCAGCTAGAGTGCTGTGGTGTCAGCCTAGCTCACAGCAACCTCCAACTCCTGGGCTCAAGCGATCCTCCTGCCTCAGCCCCCCAAGTAGCTGGGACTACAGATGCCCACCATCTCGCCGAGGTATTTTTTTTAAATTTATTTTTAGTAGAAATGGGGTCTCACTCTTGCTCACACTGGTCTCAAACTTCTGAGCTCAAGTGATCCTGCCGCCTCGGCCTCCCAGTGCTAGGATTACAGGCATGAGCCACCGCACCTGGCAGAGAGTATGGTATTTATCACAGTACAAAGGACCTTTTTTTCGAGGGAATGTAAAGTGTGAATATATTTTTTAAAAAACCAACACTTTTGCTACATGTGCTTGCCAGCTCCTGCTGAGAATCTTTTTTTTTTTTTTTTTTTTTTTAAGACAGAGTCTCGCTTTGTTGCCCAGGCTAGAGTGAGTGCCGTGGCGTCAGCCTAGCTCACAGCAACCTCAAACTCCTGGGCTCGAGTGATCCTTCTGCCTCAGCCTCCCGGGTAGCTGGGACTACAGGCATGCGCCACCATGCCCGGCTAATTTTTTTTTATATATATATCAGTTGGCCAATTAATTTCTTTCTATTTATAGTAGAGACGGGGTCTCGCTCTTGCTCAGGCTGGTTTTGAACTCCTGACCTTGAGCAATCCGCCCGCCTCGGCCTCCCAAGAGCTAGGATTACAGGCGTGAGCCACAGCGCCCGGCCATCCTGCTGAGAATCTTAAAGAACTTCATACCTAAAACAGAACTACCGCTGCTATTGTTGTGTAGGGGTGGAAGCTGCTGTCCAGAGATCCCAGGGACCAAGGAGAAATCACTCCCCATTTTCCAGGTGGGTGCTAGGAGGCGGGGTTCTTTCACTAAGAGACCTAACTTGGGTGCCCACATAAAAGGAAAACCAAGGCAGCCTGAGATAGACCTATCTACCGACTCCTAATACATGTCGGGAACAACATGCAGAGGGGTGGAGGATTCAAGCTGAGCAAGATTGAATTCAAACACCTTAGGAGAAAACACAACTCAGATAAAAGAATAGTTTTGTTTGCTTTCTCTTTTTTAGGATACAAAAGTTCTAGTTATAGGAATTTTGCTTTCCATCTATATTTTTTATGGCATTCACTAGAACAACTAGTGGGTACATTATAGCTTCCCTTAATGAACCTGGAAGGTGTAAGACTTATCCAAATCCTTTTTAGTTTTTAAGACAGAGGTTGCAAATGGGTGGCCCATGGGCTCAGTGCTGCCCACAGACATGGTTTATTTGCACTACATAGTTTCTCTTTTCTATTTAATTAACTTCAAAATAGGGATATTCGTGGTAATAAAATCCCAATTTCTAGCTAATCTTGAAATAAACCTGGAACATCTGGCAAAGCTGGACTTGTAGAACCCCTGGCAGCAATCAGGGAGGGTGGGCGCTCCCAACATCAGTAGACCCTGGGTGGGCTTCCCTCATTACAACACCTGTGGGACGCTGGAGGAACTTGACTTTGCAAGCCCTGCTGTGTGACCTGGCTCCCATACCGCCTCCTGTATGACGTCTTTTCTTCATGGCATTCATTGGTACCACCCTCCACTTCTCAGTCTAGCATCTCTAGCAGCATCTTTGGTACATTCTGATTACTTCACATCCTGGCGTTTAATGCCTCCCCATAATTCTTGATCCCCCCCTTTTCCTGCCTTTTAAAAAAATTAATAGATTTAGGGGGTACACATGGTTTTTTTGTTACATGGATGAATTGTATAGTGGAGAAATCTAGGATTTTAGTGTACCCATTGCCTGCATAGTGTACATTGTAGCCTGTGGGTAATTTTTCATCCCACATCCCCCCTCCCTGAGTCTCCAATGTCCATTATGTCACTCTGTGTGACCCTTGTGTACCCACTGCTTAGCTCCCACTTACAAGCGAGAATATGTGGTATTTTCCTTTTTGTTCCTTGGTTACTTCACTTAGGATAGTGGTCTCTAGTCCCTCCAAGTTGCTGCAAAAGACATTATTTTATTCTTTTTCATGGCTGAATAGTATTATGTGGTGTGTGTGTGTATTTTTTATCCACCCAACAGTTGATGGGTACTTAGGTTGGTTCCCTATCTTTGCAATTGTGAATTAGAATTGTGCTGTGATAAACATATGAGAGTGTGCTTTTTATTTTTAATAAACATAATACTTTGGCCAGGCGTGGTAGCTCACGCCTGTAATCCTAGCACTCTGGGAGACCAAGGCAGGCGGATCACTCAAGGTCAGGAGTTTAAGACCAGACTGAGCAAGAGTGAGACCCCGTCTCTACTATAAATAGAAAGAAATTGGCCAACCAAAATATATAGAAAAAATTAGCCGGGCACGGTGGCGTGTGCCTGTAGTCCCAGCTACTAGGGAGGCTGAGGCAGAAGGATTGCTTGAGCCCAGGAGTTTGAGGTTGCTGTGAGCTAGGCTGACGCCACGGCACTCTAGCCCAGGCAACAGAGTGAGACTCTGTCGCAAAATAAAAAATAAAACAAAAAAATCATAATACTTAGCATCCTCTAATATACTATATGATTTATGTATATTGTTTGTTGTCTGTTTCACTTTCCTGGAATGTACACTCCAAGAGGACAAAGTTCTTTGTTTTGTACACAGATGCATCCTAAGCATCTAGAATAGTATCTGGCACAGAGTGAATGCTCAGTAAATATTTGTGGATAGAACAAAGAGGTCACTCCAGGGTGCCTTCACAGACTCCTCTGCCTACCTGTGGCACCCCTAGAATCACTGACGCACAAAGCCTCTCCCCTACCTGACTGAAGGCTGGTTGAGGGCAGGAATCCCATCTCATTTAGCTTCGGATCCTGAGGTGCTTTGAACAGAGCCTGGGACACTTAATAGGTCCTCAGAGAACAGACCAGTGTAATATTCAGTGAAGAACCTGAAAACTCCTCCCATGGAGTGGAAGCTCAAGGAGGTAGTGACTCAGTTTGTCTTCTTTGGCATAGTATTCCCCATGGTACCAGGGTTGAGATGGGGATCCCAGACAGCAGACCCATCCGACGTCCTTGACTTCGCTCCCTGTGGAGGGCAGAAAAACAGTTTCCCAAAGACATCTACATTCTAAACCCAGGAATCTGTGAATGTGTTACCTTACCTAGCAAAAGAGGGTCTGCAGGTGTGATTAAGTTACAGATCTTACACTCTGGGAGGCTAAGGCCGAGGCGGGAGGCTCATTTGAGGTCAGGAGTTTAAAGCCAGCCTGAGCAAAAGCCAGACCCCATGTCTACTAAAACCAGAAAAAGTTAGCCTGGCGTGGTGGCATTGTGCCTATAGTCCCAGCTACTTGGGAGGCTGAGGCAAAAGGACTGCTTGAGCCCAGGAATTTGAGTTTGCAGTGAGCTATGATGACTCCACTACACTCTAGTCAGGGGGACATAGCAAGACTCTGTCTCCGAAAAAAAAAAGTTAAGGATCTTGAGATGGGGAAACCATCTTGGATTGTCCAAGTGGGCCCAATGCAATCACAAGGGCTCTTAAGAGAGAAAGCGGGAGTCAGGGGAGGAGATGTGGCGACAGAAGTATCCTCAGAGAGACATGCTGAGAGAAAGACTCGGCCAGCCATGGCTAGCACTGAGTATGGAGGAAGGGGCCAGGATCCAAGGAACGCAGGCAGCCTCTAGAAACTGAAAAAGGCAAGAGAACAGATTCTTTTCCAGAGCCTTCAGAAGGAACTAGCCCTCGTAACACCTTGACTTCAGCCATCTAGAATTGTTAACAAATTTGCGTTGATTTAAGCCACTACATTTGTGGTAACTTGTTACAGTAACAATGGGGAACTAATAATCCCATCAAATTTTTCCTCACAGTGTCAGAATAACACCCAACTTCACGTGGCCTCACAATGCCCTGCAGAGCCTTACCTGAGACCCACCCAGCTCTTTGTGGTCCAGCCCTCCTGGCCTTCCAGCACCTTCTGACTGAGGTTTTCCCCTCTCTCCATGCACCCCTGCCCCTGGGTATCTCCTGCTCACCCTCCAGATCCTAGCTTCAAGGTTTCTTTTTTTTTTTTTTTGAGACAGAGTCTCACTTTGTTGTCCAGGCTAGAGTGAGTGCCGTGGCGTCAGCCTAGCTCACAGCAACCTCAAACTCCTGGGCTCGAGTGATCCTTCTGCCTCAGCCTCCCGAGTAGCTGGGACTACAGGCATGTGCCACTATGCCCGGCTAATTTTATATATATATATATATCAGTTGGCCAATTAATTTCTTTCTGTTTATAGTAGAGACGGGGTCTCGCTCTTGCTCAGGCTGGTTTTGAACTCCTGACCTTGAGCAATCCGCCCGCCTCGGCCTCCCAAGAGCTAGGATTACAGGCGTGAGCCACAGCGCCCGGCCTCAAGGTTTCTTGAGACATCCACTCAAGAAGCATTTAGGGAGTGCTGGGTATTACCTAGGGGCTAAGAACTCAGGACAAAACAGGCAGGGGCTCTGCTGTCCTGTGGGGGCGGAAGCAGACCACAAACAAGTACCCAAATGACTGACAGCGTCACTTCAGATAGTGACAGCTGCTGTGCAGTCAGAGAGGGGGCTGTGCTGAGGAGTACACTGTAGATGGGCTGTCAGGGAAGGGCTCCCCAGAAGCCATGCGAGCTGAGACCTGAGTCATGAGCAGCCCCTGGCCACGAGAAGAACCCGTTCCTCACAGAAGCTTCCCTAAAGCCAGAACCCCTATCAGCTCTCCTTGAATTTTTCTGTCACACACTTGCTTGGTGTTGTGGACCGAAAATCCATATGTTGAAGCCCTAACGCTTAATGTGACTATACTTAGAGTCAGGGCTTTGGGGATGGTAATTATGGTTAAATGAGGTCACAGGGTTGGGACTTTGATACAATAGGACTGGTGTCCCTATGAGAAAAGGAAGTCATAGCAGGGATTCGATTCATGCACACAGAGAAAAGGCCACGTGAGGACTCGGGGAGAAGGCAGCTGTCTGCAAACCAGGGAGAGAGGCCTCACCGGAAACCAACTCTGACACTTCCAATCTCCAGAGCTGTGAGAAGATAAATTCTTGTTTAAGCCTCCTGATCTGTGGTGTTTTGCCACAGCAGCCCGAGCTGACAAATAACCCTGGTTTGTATATCCACATCACCCAGACCCCCTGGAAGAAAGCGCCACCCAGCTGGTCACCGCGCTTGCCCTCCTGTGCCTCCTACAGCCCACTGTCTGTACAGGAGCCCGAGAGAAGTCTCTAAAATGTAAATCAGACCTTGGAACTCCCAATTCAGCCTCTTCAATGACCGACCCCCATCCCACACAGAACGAACCCCAAATTCCACGTGGTGGCCTCTCTCTGCCCCTCAGCTTTCCCCTCCCTGCACACACAGAGCCGGATGCCTTCCCTGTAGGCCGGACGCCGAGCTCCAGCGTCAGGGCCTTTGCACTTGCTCTTCCCTCTGCCTGGGACACGCTTCCTCCACGTCGCCCCCCCGGGGGCCTTTCCCCACCGCCACACGGCCCCGCTGGGTTTCCTGGGTCTCCGCCGCCCCAAACGGTCGTCTCCGTGCGCGTGCTGGCCCGCACCCCTCCCCCCGTGCCGCGGGCAGGGACTCCGCCTCGGCCTGGGGAGGCGCCCGGACGCGGAAAATCCAGGCGGACGGGCGACGACCGGGGCCCTGCAAGAGCGGCGGAAGGAAGCGGGACGAGCCCGTCTGTGGGACGGGGACGAGCGTGGCTGTCCCGAGGACGCAGCTGTCCCTGGGCGCACCGGCCGGCGACGTCCTCGCCCCCGCGCGCCCGGCCCCGCCCGCCCTCGCCATTGGCTGCGTCGGCGGCCGCGCGCCCCGCCCGGGCGCGTGCAGACGGCCGGGGTCACCGCCCCGGCCGACGGGCGCGCGCGCCCCGCCCCGACGCTGCAGCGCAGCCAATGCGGCGTCTTCGGCGCGGCGCGCGCCTCCCGCGCCAGAGGCGCCGCCGAGCCCGCCGCCGTGCCGGCCGAGCGAGAGCTGCGAGCGAGCGCCCGGCTCGCCGCCGCGCCGCCGCTCCTCCTCCGCGTCCGCCGCGCGGCGCGCCGTCCCGCAGGTATGGTGGGCGCCGCCGGGTGCCGCGCGCCCGCGCCGCCTCCCCGCGCGCGCCGCGCCGCCTCGTGCTCGCGCGCGGCCGTTAACGGACGGACGGACGGCGGGCGGGGAGGGGGAGGGGCGGAGGCCGGGCCGGGCGGGCCGGGGCGCCGGGCCTGGGAATGGGGGCGCGCAGGGTGCCGGGGCCGGGCGGGCGCCTCCCCTGCCCGCGCCCACCGTAGCGTGACCCACTTCTGCGTGCAAGTCCTCCGGCAAAAATGTCTGCTTTCTGGCTATTTCACTTAAAAAATAATTCCCCCCCCCTATTATTTGTGTCCGCCCTGGGGGTCGCCGGGAGCCGGCTGAGGCGTCTCGGCTTGGGGGCGGGAGGGATGCCGCGTAGGGCTTGGCTCGGTGATTTGGGGCTGACCCCTCTTTTGTAAATTATTTCCATTTCCCCCCGTCGGTTTTGCGCGGGCCGGCCCCGCGGGGCGGCGGCGACAGGTTTCCGGCGTTCGCGGGCCGGGGCCTGCCCGGCGGGCTCTCCTCCCGCCCTTCCCGAGGGGACCTGTCAGCCCGCGGTGGCGCGGCTTCCGGTCGGGACGGTCGCCGCAGGGGCGTGGCCTGGCGGGCCGGAGCGCCAGGGCGAGGCGAGGCCCGGGTCCGCCTGCCCGCGCTGGGCCCGCGCTGCCCGGCGAGGTGCCACCGGCCGCCCGGGACCGGCACGGGGGACACTGGCAGTGTGGCTGGAGCGAATGCAGGTGTGCTCTGGCTGCGGAATGCACGCCTGATCTTCGAGACTTCGGATGAGGAAAGAGACCCTGAGGGCTCTCCTTACACTTACATATACGGCCCTATTTTGGACCTATTGGGCTGACGAAGATATATTGTTAACATTCATCTCACCGGTTTCTTTTTTTACTTTTTTTTTTTGAGTGTGGCTACTTGGGAATTTTAAATGACAGGGATGGCTCGAGGTGTGTTCCTATTGGACAGCGCTCGAGCAGAGCGTCTGAATGGGAGGGCGCGCTGCAGCCGGTGCCGTCTGCTCATCTCCTCCGGCCCGGCCGGTGGGCCGCAGGCTGGCGGGGAACCCGCTGCCTCTTCCTTCTCACGCTCCGCCCCGCTGTTGAGCTGAATCGCACAAGAGGGGGGCGGGTCTTGTCTTGGTTTCCAGAATAATTCACGATAATGGACAGAATTTCTCCCCCTCTCTATCTGCTGTGTTGTGCTGGAGGCTAGAAATGGCTGAATGCGGTTCAGCTCAGAATCAGAGCCCGAGTTGCTGAGGCTGGGTCTTACCCCTGTCTGGGTGTTCTGCGAAGAGCCCGCTTGATTTTGTCATCCAGACGAACCGGAGAGCTCCTGCCTTCCTCCACCTTACTGTGACTTTTGGTCCTTCCCATTCCTCAGATACTGTCAATTTTTTGCCAATAAGAATGGTGGTTTGTCCGCCACATGGCTGCACAGTTCTTAATTTTGACTGTTTTTTTTTTAAAGCCTGCCAATTTGAGTGGGTCAGATCGCCGTGTGAGTGGAAGAGAGTCAGTTGTGATAGACTCTCTCAGTTCTAGGAAGGGTGAGAATGACTGCTGCAAAGTTTTGAGCTTTTCAGTAAAGGAAGAAATAGAAACAAAAGATGTCTGGATCCTGTTGCCATGGATACTCTACAGTGGGCTTTCTAGAGGTAGTACAATATGAGCAAACTTTTGTCATCTAGATAATATCTTGAAGTATTTTGTTTTGCTTTGGTTTTTTGTTAGTGAAAATACTTTTTTTCTCCAGTATCTTAGAATTGGAAGTGGAATTTGTTTTCTTTAAAGTGCGAGTTGTTTACAAATCAAGAAAAAATTTTAGATAATATTTTTAAGGAGGGGAGAAGCATTAACATATTAATCCAGAAGTTTTAAAATTAATGTATGATAATCTGTTTTAATCCACACACATACACAAGGCTTATTAAGTGAGGTGGTTTTCATTGATGTAAAGAAACAAGGTTCCTTATCCTTACCAGGTTTTGTTCCAGCAAGAAATTTGCTTTTTATTTTGTTATGAGTTTAGCATTGTGTTCTTTAGTTAATTAATTAATTTCACGTGTCTTGTGAAGCCTCAGGAACCACATAATAGAAACAGTAAGATTTCTACACTTGACCTGAGCTCAGAATTGAAAAAAAAAAAAAAGAAAGAAACAGTAAGAAAGAGGCAGAAATTTTCTTTTTCACAAGTAGAAGGGTGAAAGCTTTGTATTTTATGAAAAGAGCTGAATTTGGAGCAGGACATTAATCTGGCACATTTGGTGAGAAGGTGAGAGTGTGTTGGGGTCAAGTGTCAGCTCTTACTGGGTCAGGAAAACTTTCATGGTCTTGGGCGCATCATAGAGGTATGGGTGTCCCCTGACAGATCATCTGTCATGAAGATTTCATATGAAATCTTTTCTGTTGAGTCCTCAGTTTCAAAGTGAATACTTCCTACGCAAGGAAAAACCAGGGCCAAAATGTGAAATTACCTTTCTGAGGTTGTTTGGCATAGCGTCTATCATGAAATTTTCATCGTTAGTAAAAGGGAGAAACTGTTTCATAAAGTATCCAATAGGAGCTTCAGTGTTACAAGGTAGTGGAACATCTTTAATAACGCTTTTACTACCTGGGTTTGCAGCCTTCTGACGGTTGCATTGTGTGCCCTACAGCACTGGTAAGTGTTGCAAGAGTCACCTAGTATGCGGTGGCAAGACAAGGTTGACATGGATGGTACTTGAACTACTTTTTAGTTGTTTTGATTCTTGCTCTTACACAGGGAGGCTTGAGTCTGAGGATAGAATCAAATATAGACTGGTAATTATCATTTTGCACTTGAAACTTAGGGATACCTTTTTAGGCAAAAGTACAAATGCTGTGCCGGGTGACCTCTGTGCCTTATTCACTGGGACACTTTCTCTGGTCTTCTGTTAGTGCATCTTGTAAGACTTTCCCTGGAATGGCATCCTTTCTTTTTTTTCTTTTTGAAGGAGTGGGGGAATTGTGAGGAGGGCTGTTCAGTTGCCTTATTTGTTTTTGTTGAGACAGAGTCTTCCTCTGTTGCCTAGAATGGAGTGCATTGGTGGCATCATTTTGTAGCTCACTGCAACCTCCAACTCCTGGGCTCTAGCCATCCTTCTGCCTCAGCCTTCCAGATAGCTGGGACTAAAGGTGCACACCACAACGCCTGGCATGGTTTTTTTTTTTTTTTTTCTTTCTTTCTTTTTGGTAGAGATGGGGTCTGACTGTTGCTCAGGCTAGACTCCTGAGCTCAAGCAGTCCTCCTGCCTCGGCCTCCCAGAGTGCTAGGATTACAGGTGTGAGCCACCGCGCCTGGCCCCTGGAATGGTATCCTGACTTTCCCTGTGTTCACTACATTCCTGTGCAAGCCCTCTGCTTTGTCTAGTTGCTTTAAATGACATCCCTTGAGCGTGGCTTTGTATGTGCATGCATGCATGCATGTTTATTCTGTTCCCCTTGAATGGTTTTAAAGTGCCCACCTTTTTATCAGAACTGTACTAATCTTATGGAGCCTGGCCCAGGGCCACTCTAGACAGGTGCTCGCTTTCCTCTTGGCGTCACTGGCACTTAACGTGCAGTATAGCTAGGTGGGTAAGAGCTCAGGCTTGGAGCCAGGCTGTCTGGCCTTGAAATCTAGCTCTGCCACTTCCTAGCTGTGTGATCCCAGGCTGGTTATGTCACTTATCTGTTTCAGTTTCCTTATAGTACCTATCTCTTAAGGTTATCCAGAGGAGTAAATGACAATACATGTAAAGCACTTAGAACAGTGCCTGGGGTTCAGTAAGAGTTCTACATGTTAGCTGCTGTTATACTTCTATCTCAGTATGTTGCAGTCACATTTACCTTGGTGTCTTCTGTTAATGCAGGCTAGTTTCACCGTAAGGAAGGGAGGTTTTATTCTAAGTGTCTTGGGCAGCCACTGTAGGATTTTGAGTAGAAGTACAGTGACTGGTTTGTGTTTTTAGAAGAGCCTTCCTTTTAGTTTAGTGTGGGAAATGGATGGGGAGGGGACAGTGGAGAGAGGCCAGCAAAGGAGGCTGTTGAGTCCTGGTAAGAGAGGGTGTGGCTGCGGCTGGGGGAAGCAGCGGAGGTGGTGAGACAGATGCCCTGCACATGTTCTGACAGTGTCACCAAGTGGGCTTTGTCAGTGGGTTGCTTAGATGTGGAGGGTGAGATAAAGAAGAGGGTTACACCAGTTTTCTGGCTTGAGCAACTGGGTAGAAGGTGGGTGTTTTTTGTGTTTTGTTTTGTTTGAGACAGAGTCTCCCCCTGTCACTCAGGCTAGAGTGCAGTGGCATGAACATAGCTCACTATAACCTTGAATTCCTAGACTTAAGCAATCCTCCTGCCCCAACCCCCTGAGGATCTGGGACTGTAGGCATGCACCACCATGCCTGGCTAATTTTTCTGTTTTTTATAGAGATGGGATCTTGCTCTTGCTCAGGCTGGTCTTGAACTCCTTATTTCAAAAAGTCTTCCTGTCTTGGCTTCCCAGAGTGTTAGGATTACAGGCTTCAGCTACCATGCCCGGCCTAAAATAAAACTTTTGCTGTGAAAAATAACCAAAGATGGCCAGACCAAAGGTGGTTCACGCCTGTAATCTTAGCACTCTGGGAGGCCCAGGTGGGAGGATTCCTTAAAGTCAGGAGTTCGAGACCAGCCTGAGCAATGGTGAGACCCTGTCTCTACTAAAAATGGAAAAGATTAGCTGGGCCTGGTGGCTTGCACTTGTAGTCCCAGCTACTCAGGAGGCTGAGGCACGAGGATTACTTGAGCCCAGGAGTTTGAGGTTGCTGTGAGCTAGGCTGATGCCACGGCACTCTAACCCAGGCAACAGAGTAAGACTCTGTCTCAAAAAACAAAGTCAAAAGATTGATATCAAGTTGGAAAAGTACTAATAACATCACAAAGGACTTCTTTCCTCAACATATAAAGAGCTTCCATAAATAAAGAAAGGTCAACCTGGAAGAAAAATGAGCAAAGGTTATGAGCAAACCACAGATAAGGAAGTACAAATGACCCTTAAATCTGTAAAGATGCTCAGCCTTAGTTAGAAACACTAAAACAAACAAAACCTCACCACATTGTCACACTGTTTTTCATCTTCCGGGTTAACAGAGATGAACGCATTGATAATCCCTTGGTGAAGTGGTCAAACGAGAACCCTCATGCGTTGTTGGTGGGTAGTATCATTTGGTAAACTGTGGCAATAGCTGGTAAAATAAACAAGTGCATGTGTCCTTTATGCTACAGAAATTCTTTAAAGAGATACTTACACTGCGTGTACACAGTGAGCTTTAAAAATTGGAAATGAGAATGTTCTTTTCCAGGGGCCTACCTAGCTGAGTTGGGTACAACCATATCATGGAACACTGTGTATGGTGATGTGGAATGACCTCCAAGATTGGGTACTACATGACAACAGCGAGGTACAGAACATGCTGGTAGCCCTGGCTTGTATAAAAACGTGCATATGCACAGAATACTTGTAAATTTTTTATTTTTAAATAATCATAGACTCACAGGAAGTTGCAAATGTAGTATGTAGAGTCCCATGAAAGCTTCATTCCCCCTCCCCCAACAAGGACACATAACTGTAGCACGCTGTCACAGCCAGGAAGTTAACTCTGGTATGATACTGTTAACCAAAGTGTAGGCCTTACTGGTTTCAGCCAGCACGCATTTGTGTGTGTGTGTGTGTAGTTCTATGCAGTTTTATCTCGTGCATAGACTCACGTAACCACTACCAAGATCAAGATACAGAATAGTTCTACAGAATGTCTTCGTCAGGACACTGAAGAGACTGGTAACTATGGTCGGTTGCTGTCAGGGCGGGCAAGTAGGTGGCTGAGTGACAGGGTTGGGCAGGAGACATTCCTTTTCACTGACATGTTGAAATACTTTCTGAACCATTTGGAATGTCCGTGAGACGCCTGGGTGGAACTGTCAAATGGGCAGAAGGTATGTCTCCCCCAGAGCTCTGCTGGGGGTGCACGTGGGCGCTGTTGGGGGGCCGGAGATGTGGGAATTTAACATCTGGCCGTTGTAGGAGGACGTCCAGGGGAGAGTGTGGCCTGGGGAGACCCCAAAGAGGGTCCAGCTGAAGCCGCAGGGCTGTCCAGGGCTGTCGTGTTGAGAGGTCAGGAGGGGAGGGAGCCTTGGCTCGTGAGGAGACAGTGGCCTGTGAGGCGGGACTAACCCAGCCCGGGGCTGCGAGGTGGACGAGGTGGACAGGTGGACGGTGGAGGGAGAGGGCTCCCACGAGGGAGGGGACACAGCAGGTTCTGCTGAGTTTGGGAAAGAGAAGTGGCCAATGGGTTAACTTTGTAAAATTCTTCCTCATTGAGAATTGAGGCCAGATTTTAACTGGATCAAAAAATAAGATAGTGTGTTTTTAAAAAGTTTATCTCCTAGCACTCTGGGAGGCTGGGGCAGGCAGATTGCTCTAGGTCAGGAGTTCGAAACCAGCCTGAGCAAGAGCGAGACCCTGTCTCTACTAAAAATAGAAAGAAATTAATTGACCAACTAAAAATATATATACAAAAAATGAGCCGGGCATGGTGGCACATGCCTGTAGTCCCAGCTACTCGGGAGGCTGAGGCAGCAGGATCGCTTGAGCCCAGGAGATAGAGGTTGTTGTGAGCTAGGCTGACGCCACAGCACTCACTCTTGCCTGGGCAACAAAGTGAGACTCTGTCTCAAAATAAATAAATAAATAAAAAGTTTATCTCTTTCAAAAAGGAGGGAGGGATTAATTTCACAGGTAAAACCAATCTATGGGCTGGGCCCGGTGGCTCACGCCTGTAATCCTAGCACTCTGGGAGGCCGAGATGGGCGGATTGCTCAAGGTCAGGGTTTCGAAACCAGCCTGAGCAAGAGCGAGACCCCGTCTCTACTATAAATAGAGAGAAATTAATTGGCCAACTAATATATATAGAAAAAATTAGCCAGGCATGGTGGCACATGCCTATAGTCCCAGCTACTCAGGAGGCTGAGGCAGGATTGCTTGAGCCCAGGAGTTTGAAGTTGCTGTGAGCTAGGCTGACGCCACAGCACTCACTTTAACCTGGGCAACAAAGCGAGTCTGTCTCAAAAACAAAAACAAAAACAAAAACAATCTATGGTGGAAAAAATCAGAACAAGTCTGCCCGAGGTGGGTGGAGGCAGGGACTGTCTAGGGAAGGGGCATGAGGGGACTTCCTGGAATGACATTTAATGGCCCGTAACTTCATAGGGCTTGGGTTATGCACATTGTCAAAACCTACATTAAGATTTGTGCATTTTACCTGTTTACCAAAAACAAAAAAACTATGTAAATATTTATGCTAGGTAATCATGTGTATACTAAGTGTTTAGGATTGGATTACAATTGGACGGTAACTCATTTTATAATTTATCAAAACAATAAGGTGGATTGATGGATGGACTGAAGGATGGGCAGGTGGATGAGGATGGGTAGATGTGATAAATATCATAAAATATTATATTTGAGCAATTAAAGTTTTTTAACTTTACTGTGTGTTGGAAAATTTTCAAAATACAAATTGAGGGAGAAAATTTAAACTACTGAACGCGGCTGAGTGTGGTGGCTCACGCCTGTCATCCCAGCACTTTGGGAGGGTGAGATAGGATTGCTTGAGGCCAGGAGCTTAAGACCAGCCTGAGCAACATAGTGAGACCCCATCTCTACAAAAAACAATAATGTCAACAGCAACAACAACAGAAACCTGAAAAGTTAGCTGGGCATGGTGGCGTGTGCACCTGTAATCCTAGCTACTGGGGAGGCTGAGGTGGGAGGATTACTTGAGCCCAGCAGTTGGAGGTTGCAGTGAGCTACAATGATGCCACTGCACTCTAGCCAGAGTGACAGAGCGAGACTCTTGCTTTAAAAAAAAAAATCTGTATTTTATTTCCTCCTAATCACTTACTTGAGTTGTCAGCTTTTTGCCACATGCCCTTTGTTAGTAAGAGGTTGAGGTTCAAGGTTTTCTGGCATTTTCTCAGAAAATAGCTCTAAGGCTATTAACTTGGCAGATTATCTTTACCCAGGAGTCCATTCTTAGCCAGCAGATTTACTTTTTGAGTCACCCTCAAACTAATTCCCACCTCAGCTAAGCAAGGCTGGGAGAAGGCACATCATTCTCTGAAGAGTGCAGCGGCGATCCGGCTGCAGGCCTCCTTTTCTGGGCCCCCCTTCTGGCTGGAGTGCCACAGCACCCCAAATGCTGCTCTGGGTTCCCTCGGGTTCCAAAGTTCTGACTTTCAATAAATTGCCCTGCTTTAAATAGAATAGAAAGAAGCCTGATGGCCCCTTAAATCTTGCCATGGAAGGGTTCAGAGGATACATAGACTTTTATAAAATACTTTAAATTTTGTCCAGAGGTAATTCATTTACATGACTCAAAAAAAAAAAAAAAAGATATACGGTGAGAAGACCTCATCCTACCCCTGTTTCAGCCCCAGCTTTCTACCACTGCTATGTTTCCCGTGATTCATCTGGAGCTATTTCAGGTATATAACAAGCACATATGAATATATACACCTAATCCCCCTCAGTTTTTAAAAAAACAGAACAGGGTCATAATATGGATACTTTTGTACCTTTCTTTTTTTTTATTCTCAGCACAATATATTCAGCCATTAACTTTTTGATAGGCATTGAGTTATTTTTTTAAAAATCTTTTTGTCTTACAAATAGTGCCTCCCTTAAATAACTTTGTACATACAACCATGAATTTTTAAAACTTATTAGGAAAGTGGTCCAACATGTACAAGTAGATAGAAGAAGAGAATGAACCCCATACGCCCCTTGTCTAGCTGGGACTGTTGGCCATGTTCTTGGCACTCTTGTTTCATTTCCACCCCCCACCCCCCCTTTTGGGCTAAAGTATTTTAAAAGCAAATTGCAGAAATAGTGCCATTTTATTTTAGAGTTGTGGACTTCTTAAACTTTTTATTTTGGAAAGTTTCAAGTGCATGCAGAGTGGAGATAGTAGCATGAAGGATCCCCTGTAGCTCCCATCCACTTTGTTGGGTGGGAATGTTGACAGTTATCAACATTCTGCTGTTTCATCCCTACCTCCCACCCCCATCTGCTTTTTTATTAGCTGAAGTATTTTAAAGCAAATCCCAGATATGTTCTTTCCCATGTAAACACTTCAGTGAAGTACTAACTTCTAAGTATAAGATAAAATCATGTAGGACTGGCAGTACTTAAAAGATGAAAGGGATCAGTGCCAGTTGGTGACCTTTGGGGCGTTCCAACCCCATCTCACCCCTAGACTTTGAAAAAGGTAGATTTAGAAATAAAACTGCAAATGGTAAGCAATAATGAAACTGGAAAATTTCAGCTATGTACTTGAAACACGGCTGGAATTTCCCTTGCTGTCACCTAGTCCAAATACATGGCTTATGTGATAAGATGTCATCTTTGTTTTATGTTTCAGTTATTCTCAACTGGGGGTGATTGTGCTTGTGCTCACCACCACCCCCAGCCCCCCAGGACATCGAACAATGTCTGGAGACATTTTTTGGTTGTCACAGCTGGGGGTTAGGGCAGGGTGGGCTGCTACGGGCATAGTTGGCGAGGCCAAAGATACTGCCACTGTCCTGCAGCCCACAGGACAGCCCGCACAACGGGATCATCTGGCCTGAAATGCTGAGGCTGGGAAGCCCTAGTTTAGGAGGTGATGTTTTGTCATAGGTTCTTTCTCTGTGGTTCTCCTTGAACTTGGGGGAAACTGCTCAGTAAACATTGACCAGTGGGGGTGGGTGCCAACAGGCTGTCATGTGTTGACATTTGCAAGTGTTATATTGAAGGTAAAACCTTAATATAGAGAAAATTCCAATTGAAATATAATAACTTTATTCAGGTCAGTATTCTATCAGTTGTATCAACAAGGATTATTTCAGAAGTGTGTGTAACAAAATATGTATAAGGTTTAAACTCAGCTTATAAGGAAGTCAGCTTCCCTTGGACTCAAGAGGATATGAAACCCGTTTATTTCTGGAGAGCTTCCAGAAGCAAAACAAGGCTGAGACTGTTCTAGTCTCAGCTTATGCATGTATATAGACTGGGAAGAAACAAAACCTGTAGCTGAAGAAAGGAAGAGAAGAGACAGGAAGAGAGAAGTGAGTTTTTCACGGAGACTGTTCAGGAAGGACATAAAAAATCTGCATAACTGTTCAGCCTTAGGGTATGAAAACCGCATGCTTAGGGTGCCCTGGATGGCAGGGGACCACAGAGATAACTCACATGGGGTCCTTGGTGTCTAGGACCCTAGAGTCAAGTTGGGGATGGACGTGTCTACAACTGATTGTGTGACAAGGCCTTGATTTGTGGATGTTTTTACTGGAGCCCAGGAGCCCTGGTGCCCTATGTAACTCTGTGCCTTGTTTCTTTCCAGATTGCTCATTTAGAAAGTGGATGTGTGGGGTAACATGTCCAGTGTGTCCGAGGAGAGAAGAAAAAGGCAGCAGAACATTAAGGAAGGACTGCAGTTTATCCAGTAAGAGCTCAAGAATTCCTACCTGTGTTCTTGCCACGTCATAATTCTTTTTTTATGTGGCTGCATGTTTTGCAGAGATTACGAACTCTCTAGTCATGCTTAATAGGTCCTGTTAATTTGGGTTAGAAACTACACATTTCTATTCCAACAGTATTTATTTTCTTGTCCATTTGAGCATTCTTGTGTTCTGAAATGGATCTTACTGTTGCTGACTTTCAGGGCTAAAAGTTTTAGTATCCCCCAAAATATTCGACTGAGGAATTTGTTCTTATGAGAACAGTTCTGATGAATGAAAAGTGGCTAAAAGTGCACATCTGTCGACACAGAGGGCTTTTGCGATCAGACGTTTCTGTTAAGAAGCTCAGTGTCTCACTGGACTTCTTGAAGCACGCCAGTGACAAGACAGCGGTGTTTTGGGTGGACATGTCCGGGCAGATGGGCCCCTTTGTTTCTTCCTGAGAAGGAAACATTCTCTTCTATGTTGCAGTAAATTGGATCACATAGTGTTAGTGGTTCTGTACTATTTTTAACCTTCTTTGGCATTTGAAGAATTAGGCCTTCTTTTAATAGAAATAGATTTGAAAGGAAAGAGTTGTACTTAAGGAAATACAAGGAATAGTTCAGTTGTTTTCTTTTTTTCATGACTGCAGTCATCTGTAAATAATGGTAGCAAAGAAAAAGAAAGCCTTTAACATGTGCTTTGAACCAGGGGCAAACTAATGGAACCACAGATTTAAGGTGACTTCTGGCTGAGCAAGTCCTGATACGAGCTTGATAATTACAGTTCATTTCTGTCTTCTTCTCAGGTCACCGCTGTCATATCCAGGAACACAGGAACAATATGCGGTAATGACTCTGGGAAGGTCTGCTGGGAAGCCCTGCAAGTGGCCTGGGAACTATAATCTGTAGCAGGGGTTGGTAAACTGTGGCTTTGTGGGCCAAATCTGTCCTGCTGCCCGCCCCACCCCCCTTTTTTTTTTAACAATTAAAGCTTTATTGGAACACAGCCACACTCATTTGTTTATGTATTATCTGTTGCTGCTTTGGCAACATATGGTAGTTTTGACAGAGACCATATGGCCTACAAAGCCTAAAATATTTATTGTCTGGGCATTTGTGGAAAAAGTTTGCCAGCCCCTTATATATAAGACTATTTTTTTTTTGTATATTTGCATAGTTGTCCTGTATTTTCTTCCCTCTAGTAGTGTGGTTTTGAATTAATTTATCTTTCGACCCCCTTGCAAATCACTTTTAGCCTACCTTTCATGTCATCGAAAATAAGAGGGACAGAATTTATTGAGAAGGAAAGTGTGGAGTTATCTTCTCTTTTTATTTAGGAGAAGAGAAGTTCTGACAGCAGCAAAGGGGGGACTGAGTAACAAGCAGGAAGAGCTAGTGATAAATCTGCTGTAGGAACAGGAGAATCTAAGCCATGTTCATTGGGCCCTGGACTACAGACTCTCATCGCTGCAGACTGACTGTTGGCTGTGGCTTTGTTTTTTTTTTTGTTGTTTTTTGGGAGACAGAGTCTTGCTCTGTTCTCTGTTGCCCAGGCTAGACGCTATTCCGTGGCATTAGCCTCTAGAGTAGCTGGGGCTACAGGTGTATACCACCACGCCTGCATAATTTTTTCTGTTTTTAGTAGAGATAGGACTCTTTTTTTTTTTTGAGACAGAACCTCACTCTGTTTTCTAGGCTAGAGTGCGGTGGGGTTAGCCTAGCTCACAGCAACCTCAAACTCCTGGGCTCAAGCAATCTTCCTGCCTCCGCCTCCCGAGTAGCTGGGACTACAGGCATGCACCACCATGCCCGGCTAATTTTTTTCTATATATTTTTAGTTGGCCAATTAATTTCTTTCTATTTTTAGTAGAGACAGGGTCTTGCTCTTGAGGCCTGTCTCGAATTCCTGACCTCAAGTGATCCTTCTGCCTCAGCCTTCCAGAGTGCTAGGATTACAGGTGTAAGCTACCTGGCCCAGCCTCTCTGAGGGTTTTGATGCTCCTAAATGTCACTTTCTCTCTGCCTCTCTCCCTCTTCCCCTTTCTTTCAATCTCTCTGTTGTTCCCTCCCTTCCTCTCTCTAAACAGTTGTAGAATCATAAAGTATTAGAGCTAGAAATCAACTGAAACAATTGTTTCATTTTGCACTTGTGGATTTGGGGTCCAGAGATGTTAAGCGGCATGTCACAAGTCACATCAGTTGGCAGTAATTGATCTATCCAGTTTTCTTTAATGATTTGGTCAGCTTAGAGGTGAATTCATAAAATGAGACAAAACTAGTTGAATATTTATCTGATCATGTGATGGAAAAAGGCTTTTAAAATACTAAAGCATGCTAGAAATCATGAAGGAAAATTAAAAACGTGTGTACGTGCTAAAGAATGTATATACTCGCTTGGTTAGAAAAAGGTTTTGCACCCTCTCCCTCCAAATCAGTAAATGACCTGAGCAAACAGTTTACAAAAGAAGAAATACAAATATCCTGTAAAAATGAGGAAAAGTTCAACTTCACTGGTGAAGATGTGCAAATATAATAGGATAGAGGGCCGGGCTTGGTGGCTCACGCCTGTAATCCTAGCTCTCTGGGAGGCCGAGGGGGGCGGATTGCTCGAGATCAGGAGTTTGAAACCAGCCTAAGCAACAGCGAGACCCCGTCTCTACTATAAATAGAAAGAAATTAATTGGCCAACTAATATATATAGAAAAAATTAATGGAGCATGGTGGTGCACGTCTGTAGTCCCAGCTACTCGGGAGGCTGAGGCAGGAGGATTGCTTGAGCCCAGGAGTTTGAGGTTGCTGTGAGCTAGGCTGATGCCGTGGCACTCACTCTAGCCTGGGCAACAAAACGAGACTGTCTCAAAACAAACAAAAAAAGGGATAGAGAAGTTTTCAGCTAGACATTGGTAGAGATTTTACGTATAGGCACATGCACACGTGCACACACACTACCTGGCCTGCGAGGGTTCTGTGACACACACCACCAGAAGTATTTATGGTTACTGCCTTTTTGGAAGGCAATTTGGTAATACTAGTTAAAAAGCCTTAAACTGTTCATTCTCTTTGATTTCGGGCTTCCACTGGCTATTATTTGGGGCACAGAATTAGAGATGTGAACAAATACTAGATACATTGCTGCATTTTTTTTTTGAGACAGAGTCTCACTCTGTTGCCCAGCTAGAGTGCCGTGGTATCAGCCTAGCTCACAGCAACCTCAAACTCTTAGGCTCAAGTGAGCCTCCTGCCTCAGCTTCCCAAGAAGCTGGGTCTACAGGCATGCACTACCATGCCTGGCTAATTTTTTCTGTATGTTTTAGTTGGCCAGTTAATTTCTTTCTATTTTTAGTAGAGGTGGGGTCTCGCTCTTGCTCAGACTGGTTTCGAACTCCTGAGCTCAAGTGATTGGCCCGCCTCGGCCTTCCAGACTGCTGGGATTATAGGCATGAGCCACCGCACCTGGCTTGGCTGCATTTTTCTTTTTTGGGGGGCTCAGAGTTTCGCTTTGTTGCCCTGGCTAGAGTGAGTGCTGTGGTGTCAGCCTAGCTCACAGCAACCTCAAACTCCTGGGCTTAAGCAATCCTCCTGCCTCAGCCTCCCTAGTAGCTGGGACTACAGGCATGCGCTACCATGCCCGGCTAATTTTTTCTATAGATATTAGTTGGCAATTAATTTCTTTCTATTTATAGTAGAGACAGGGTCTGGCTCTTGCTCAGGTTTGAGCAATCCGCCTGCCTCGGCCTCCCAGAGTGCTAGGATTACAGGCGTGAGCCACCGTGCCTGGCCTACATTTTTCTTAATAATGAGAAATTGAGTTTTCTCTTGAAAAAGCAAGGAAGATAAAATCCCTAGCTGGATAGCAGTGACTTGGCTGCATTTCACAGTTTCTTACAGCAGTGCTGCTGTTCCGTCAGATTGTTTTCTCTGAAGTTGTGGGTATAAATATTAAAATGTACATATGCCATATCTTATTCTATAAAGGGCTTCAAGTGGTAACTTTGTTTTTTAGGTATATTTGCGGACTCTTGTGAGAAATCTTTTTAATGAAGGAAATGATGTTTATCGGGAATGTGATTGGAATAGCTCAATAAGCCAGTACACAGAAGCTTTGAATATAGCTGATTATGCAAAGTCTGAAGAAATTTTAATCCCCAAAGAAATAATTGAAAAACTGCATATAAATCGTATTGCCTGCTATTCTAATATGGTGAGTTCTGATTTTTAAAATAATGTTCTAGAGTAAAAAATTTTTCTTCAGTGACTTTAATACATTAATGAAAAGTCAATTTCTTAATTTTAGTTTTTAATGAAGGCATATTAACTGCTTTTAGAGTGGCCTGAGGCTTTTGAAAATTATCTTTGGACAATATTTAGGGGTTTTAAAAATAATTTATTTCTTAGTCCTTGAAGATTCCTATTTGAGTGTGGCTTTTGAAGGTGTGTCTGCTTGTTTAAAAGCGTCAGCCCAGGAAGACACAGGTTTCCACAGGTCAGCGTGTCTGTCAGCTATCTGTGTGGGCAGTTCACTCCTTAGTCAAGATTCTGTTAGTCCTCTTAGGAGTTTTTTTTTAGCACAAAATAGTAATTACCCTTCAAAGGAATTAATATAGGTTTTCACAGTTTTAAACTTAAAAAACAATATTTTGATGTGCTTCTCATTTTCACTATGGACATTCATTAAAATTTAACCATAATTTTTTCCCCCCAAACCCACTTGCCCATGAATTTAAGAAAAATTATGCCCATGTTGTTGCATAATTCTTTGTTAATGAGAATTGCTTTTTTTTTTTTTTTTTTGAGACAGAGTCTCGCTTTGTTGTCCAGGCTAGAGTGAGTGCCTCAAACTCCTGGGCTCAAGCGATCCTTCTGCCTCAGCCTCCCGAGTAGCTGGGACTACAGGCATGCGCCACCATGCCCGGCTAATTTATTTATTTTTTTTATATATATATATCAGTTGTCCAATTAATTTCTTTCTATTTATAGTAGAGACGGGGTCTCGCTCTTGCTCAGGCTGGTTTTGAACTCCTGAGCTTGAGCAATCCGCCTGCCTCGGCCTCCCAAGAGCTAGGATTACAGGCGTGAGCCACCGCGCCCGGCCTATTTATTTTGTTTTGATAATGTATTCCTCATCAGCTGATTGGGAGTTACATTTTCATTTGACACTTTAACGTACTCTGGAAAAGGGAAACTACAGAGGGGAAGAGAAAATGAGACTGACGCTCAGAGGCATCAGTTATGTCTAGAAAGTTTTATTTCTTGAAGATCTAGGGCCTTTATGGCCAAATGTTAACATTTGTCTAATCTGGGTGGTGGGCACATAGGTATTCATGATAGTTTATTTTTGTGTATTTGAAATTTCATAATGAAAATAATTCTAAAAAGGAAAATAATAGCTGCTGATTTGAAGTTTAAAAGGAAGGTAATAGGCTGGGATCGTAATTTGTTTTCATTTAGAGGAAATCAGTCAGTGCAAGAAGTGAATTGATTGCTAACTTTATTCTTTGATCTCACACGCCAGGGTTTCCATGATAAAGTTTTAGAAGATTGCAATACAGTCCTCAGCTTAAATGCCAGTAACTGCAAAGCTCTGTATCGGAAATCTAAGGCTTTAAGTGATTTAGGAAGATACAAAGAGGCTTATGATGCTGTAGCCAAGTGCTCCTTGGCAGTGCCACAGGTATGGAATTTATATTTTAGCTCATTTGTTTACATCCTAACCATTTAGTGCTCCCATATGGAGAAATGGCATTTAAAGAAATGGCATTTAAAGGGCATCCACCCTTCAGCCTACTTCAGTTGGGTATAACTGCTATTAAAGCAAATGTCTCGCCAGAAAACATCACTGTTTTGTCTCTTCTTCACAGCTAGGAAATACAGTTCTCCATTAAGCATACCTACTTATCTTTTTCAGGATGAACATGTAATAAAACTAACTCAAGAACTAGCTCATAAATTGGGATTTAAAATAAGAAAAGCATATGTTAGAGCTGAGGTAAGCTGGCATTCTCTTCATAAGGTATTTTAATTTTGTTTTATAGCTTGGAGTCCTGTTTTTATTTTTATTTTAGTTATTAGGTCATTAAATATTAAACGTCCGATTTCTAATCAAAAGTGTAGTTTATTATATCTCAAAGAAGAAGCAGTACAATTAATCAAAGGATGGGCCTAAACTGTCAACACAGTTTTGCCATCTTAACGGTAGCTTGTCTATGCCAGCAGTGAAGAAGCCTGGAGAGTGAGTGGCGATGAAATCACAAAAGGTGTTTTCCATGGTTTGTTGAGGATTGAATATTTTTCCTTGCAAGAAGTGGTCCAAAGCCTAGAAGTGGTGGTCAGTTGGTGCAAAGTCTGGTGAATAGGGTGGATGACAAGAGAGTTCCCAAGTCCAGCTTCTGTAGTTTGAGCAGTGTTGTTTGTGCAACATGTGGTCGAGTGTTTTCTTGCAAGAGGATTGGCCTGTCTCTGTTGACCAATCTTGGCTGCTTAATCGCAAGCATCCTCGTCATTTCATCCAGTTGGTTGCAGTAGACATCCGCTGTAATTGATAGACCAGGTTTCATGAAGCCGTAGTGGCTAATACCAGCACTGGACCACCAAACACACACCATCAACTTTTTGTGATGAATATTTGGTTTTGGACTGTGTTTCGGCACTTATCTTTATCCAACCATTGTGCTGAACACTTGCGATTGTCTAAAAGATTCCATTTTTCATCATGTGTAACAATGCAGTGTAGAAATGGTTCGCCTTTATGTTGTGACAGCAAAGAAAGGCAAGCTTCGAGATGATGTCTTTTTTGATGTTTATTTAATTCACGTGGAACACATCCATCCAGCTTCTTTACCTCGCTGATTTGTTTCAAATAGTCCCATATTGTTGGAACAGTAACGTCAAACCTTGCTGCTAATTCACAAGTAGTTTGAGATGGATTCGCTTCCACTACAGCTTATCAATATCTACCTTGGTCTCAAGTCACCCATGTGGCTCATTTTCAAGATTAAAATAAATCACTAGAATGGAACTTCTGAAACCATCAACGTACTGTGTGTTCGTTAGCCATATCATTCCCAAACACTTCATTGATATTTTGAGCTGTCTATGCTGCATAGGTTCCACAATGGAACTCATATTTGAAAATAACACGAATCTTTGACTTATCCATGGTTTCACAAAAACTGCTCTAAAAAAATTTTGATAGATAATTATAAGCCAAAATGTGCATTTGTAAGACTGAGGATGCTTTATTTTCACGATAAAAATAAAGCAAAAATTGTCAAAGTTTAAAGTGTCGGAGATATCAACTATCAAACTTAGTACTTAAGGAAATTGGACATTTCATACTTAATAACCTAGTATTTATTTTTTTATAAATATTTTTTATTTATGCAGAAAGGTGGCTGGCTTGCCCACTTCCACAGTGGGTGTGGGGTGGAAATTAGTTCTATTTTTAAATAAATGTCTTTATTTTGTTTTAGCTCTCATTAAAATCAGTTCCTGGGGATGGAGCTACCAAGGTAAAGTTATTTCTTCTGTAAACATCATAATTTTTTTTGTGGGAGGGACAGGTCTCACTCTGTTACCTGGGCTAGAGTGCCATGGCATCAGCCTAGCTCACAGCAACCTTAAACTCCTGAGTTCAAGCGATCCTCTTGCCTCAGCCTCCCAGTGAGCTGGGACTACAGGCATGCGCCACTACAGCTGGCTAATTTTTCTAATTTTTTGTAGAGATGAGGGTCTCACTCTTGCGATCAGGCTGATCTTGAACTCCTGACCTCAAGCAATCCTCCTGCCTCTTCCTCCCTGGCCAGTAAACATCATAATGAAAAGAAAGGATGGAAGTGTTAGCAATTCTGTCTTTAATATTTTTGGCGTATGTCTATTTTTGAAACTTTTTTATTCCTAAAATATATAATTGGCCATAGCTTCCTGTCACTTTAAAAAAAAAGAAAACCAATTACTCAAGTGATATATTTTAATCTTAACTAGCTTTTCCTAAAGTCTGGTGGAACATTTTATAGGATATTAATAGGCGTTAGGTTTCATTGAAAAAGAGTGGCCTAGAGCCAAATATTAGTTAGGAGAGTCATTTGGGATAAACAAAATTAACAAAAAAATTTTAAGGTAAATCATCTTGGGGCAATTAGGCCATTGTGAGTTGGGTGGTGAGTTGTGGCTGGGTTAGTCCCCCATGTTCTGCTGAATGTCCTTTGAGAAATGCTCGTCTGCGGCCGGGCGTGGTGGCTCACGCTTGTAATCCTAGCACTGGGAGGCCGAGGCGGGCGGATCCCTCGAGGTCAGGAGTTCGAGACCAGCCTGTGCAAGAGCGAGATCCCGTCTCTACTAAAAATACAAATTAATTGGCCAACTAAAAATACATATAGAAAAAATTAGCTGGGCATGGTGGCGCATGCCTGTAGTTCCAGCTACTCGGGAGGCTGAGGCAGGAGGATTGCTTGACCTCAGGAGTTTGAGGTTGCTGTGAGCCAGGCTGACCCCACGGCACTCTAGCCTGGGCAACAGAGTGAGGCTCTGTCTCAAAAAAACAGAAAGAAATGGTCTGCAAGAGATAAGTGGTAGCATTGCTTGACCAGCACTTCATCTAACACCTTGTATTATAAAGGTTTGCATATTCCATTCATTTCTTAAATCTTAATTGGAAAGGGGGTCAGGTTTCTCTGAAAACCTGCGTTGCTGTCTTAGGGTAAGTTTTACAGATTGCTTTATGGTTTAGAATCCTGAAAATATTATGACCCATTATTTGGTTTAATTTCTAGGCTTTGAACTATTCTGTGGAAGATATTGAGCCAGGTATGTTTTCCCATATCATCTTAACAATCTGAGAACTGCCAGCTTTAGACTTTATATGTGATATAGTGTTGTCAAATAAGATCGTTGGCCGGGTGCGGTGGCTCACGCCTGTAATCCTAGCTCTCTGGGAGGCTGAGGTGGGTGGATTGTTTGAGTTCAGTAGTTCGAAACCAACCTGAGCAAGAGACCCCGTCTCTACTATAAATAGGAATAAATTAATTAGCCAACTAATATATATAGAAGAAATGAGCCGGGCATGGTGGCACATGCCTGTAGTCCCAGCTACTTGGGAGGCTGAGGCAGGAGGGTCGCTTGAGCTCAGGAGTTTGAGGTTGCCGTGAGCTAGGCTGACGCCACGGGACTCACTCTAACCTGGGCAACAAAGTGAGACTCTGTCTCAAAAAAAAAAAAAAAAAAAAAAAAAGATCGTTGCATGGTTATATTAGTGAGAATGATTTTGAAAGCCATTTTTGTGCTTTTGGATGTGCCAGTGAGTGATTGGTAATATTAGATGTCAGTAAGCAATCATTTTACAACCCGCTGTGGCCTGATAGCTGTGCCCAAAAGGGCTGCAGGCATTTTGTGAAAGAAGGATAAGTTTTCACAAACGAATATATCTATTCCTGGGTAAAATGAATTATTTTTAGAATTGCTTTTACTCTTTTATTTGTAGTTGTTTTACTATGGTATCTGTCTATTTATTTTTATAAATGCATTCATATTTACACCTAGATTTTCTATATTATTGATGATTAATGTGTTATGTAAGTACAGTAAAAATGAGTGGGTACATTTCCATCCATGTTACAGATTTATTAACTCCGAGGCAAGAAGCAGTTTCTGTTGTCTCTTTACCTGCATCCAGTTTTTCCCATGAGATTGGAAGTGAGCTGGCCTCAGTTTCTATCATGCCTTTAACTTCTATTTTGCCGCTGCAAGCGGAAGAGAGTGCTCTGCCGTCTGCGGTGTTGGCGAATGGAGGGAAGATCCCCTTTGCTATGCCGGAAGCGTTTTTAGATGATGGTGACATGGTCCTTGGAGATGAAATAGACGACCTTCTTGATTCTGCCCCCGAAACCAATGAAACTGTTATGGTGAGTTTCAGTGTTGTTCCTTCTTTTGAAGGCAGGGTTAATTTTTTTTTTTTAATTGTAACATAACCTGGTAGATACTTTCAGTATTGTTTATATGCTGAATTTTAGGTTTCTCACCTTGAAAATTACTTTTGTCCGTCTTTGGTGGTAACTGGTTGATTTGATCATTTTTGAAATAAAAAAAGGAAGAAACATGCTATTTAGTAATTAGCCAATCTTTTTCTTTTTATATTGGGATCACATATTGTAGAAAGGGTAAATATTCTGATAAAGAATAGGTATTTGATATTTAAGGAAAAATGAGTTTTATGGGTTAAGGGTTTCTCATTCCTTAGGAATAATTCTGCAGTGACCATATACCATTAAGCAGGGGTCAGTAAACTACGGCCTGCAGGGCAAACCTGGCCCTCCACCTGTTTTTGTATGGCCTGCAAACCAAGGATGTTTTTTACATTTTTAAGTGGTTGGAAAAAGAACAAAAAAGGAGAATAATATTTTATGACATGAAAATTATATGAAATTCAAATTTCAGGGTTCATAAATAAAGCCTTAACAAATGGACAACCATCCATTTTATGTGTTGTCTGTGGCTCCTTTTGCACTGGAACAGCAGAGTTGAGTAGTTGCAGCAGGGACAGTGTAGCCTGCAAAGTCTAAAATACTTAATGTCTACCCCTTTATAGAAAATGTTTTCTGACCCCTGCCATAAAGTATAATAAAATAGCAGCAGCAATAATAGTATGATGATGAGAGGGAGAATTTCAGAACCGGTTTCCAGGGCCAGGGAAATAGATGATATCAATGTGGGGTGGAACAGGGTAAGAAGTATGTGCAAAAGGGTGACAGAGTTGCGTTTGATTCTTACTAGCTCTGTGGTCTTGGGCAGGTGACTTCACTTTCTAGTACAGGGAACTACAATGGCAGTCTCACAGTAGGATGAATCTGAGAGACCTGTTGTAAGAATCCAATAGATAGTATATGACACTTACAGTGTGGGACGCATGGAAGCACTCAGTTAGTCCTAGCTTTGATGGGGGCTGGGGAAGTTAGAGTTCTGTTTGTCTTTGTGCGATTAAAAGTTCACTCCTTCAGAGAGAGGGTCCCAGTCCCGGACGGCTTCTCCAGCTCCCTTCTGTGGATCACACTTCCTTCTGCCCCGGCCCGCACAGCCCCACAGTCCCTCTTTAATGAGGTGAATCCTTAGGAGCTTCATGGTCCAGTAGGGTTAGGGCGTCGTAAGGTGGCTTTGCAGGTGAAACACGGATGTGACAATTGGATTAAAACAGTGTTAGACGTCCCACCTCCATCCTTTCTAAATATTGGGCTTGAACAGTAATAAGCTTTGTAGCTAAAATTCTTCTAATGAACCTTGATTTTGATTTAAATGTTTTTATGTAACACGATCACCCAGTGTAATAATTTGTTTTTGTGTGCTGATGTTGAAAGTAGTTCAGCCAAACTTGTGACAGAGACTCGTGAATTTTAATCACATCTTTTCTCTTCCCAGCCGTCAGCTTTAGTCAGAGGACCCCTTCAGACAGCCAGTGTCTCTCCTAGCATACCCTTTTCGGCATCTCTGTTAGGAACCTTACCCATTGGTGCGAGGTATGCTCCTCCACCCTCCTTTTCAGAATTTTATCCACCTCTGACTTCATCCTTAGAAGATTTTTGTTCTTCTTTAAATTCGTTTTCAATCAGTGAATCCAAACGAGGTAAGAATCCAGCCTAAATTATAAACAATTGCTGTTAATTTTCTAAAAAATAAAGTGGGTGTTTAACAGTTTTTAACTGACTCTAGGTACTAGGTACTTGAATTGTTTTCATTGTAGCTAAAAATAGACTGAGCTGAGCCTTCAGTTTTGAATTCGCCTTAACTATGGTTTTCTGGAGATCAAGGGCAAAGGCATGAGAATAGGATGCATGTGGCACTGTTTGTTATATCGGATAGTATGTTAACCTGGGTGTTTATTGTTTCGGGAGTGAAATGACTTTTTAATGTATTCTCCAATAAAGCTGTATCCCATCTTAAAGACAGTCTTTAATTTAAAAAGTCTTTTAAATTCTGATCTAAGCAAACACTGATTTAAGATCTGTGTTCCAAATGGTAACAGTTAGATCTGTCTATTTTAGTTTTCATCTTTTGAGCTGAGTGAACTGTGGCTGATGCCTTAATCCCTGCAAGGGGATTGCTGAGTTTTTGGTTCGACTCCTGTAATCCTAGGCTTAATATATACTTTAAACAATAATGAGAAAAATCTTTCTATTTTTGGTGGCATCATTACATGGTTAAAAGGGCAAAAGTCTTAAATAATTGATTTAAAGATTTGCGACTGAAGAAATTAAAATATTTGAGAGACAGAAGGCTAGAGAGGAAATAATTGAGTGGTAGACTAAGAAAAAGAAAACAATTGAACTTACTGATTTTTTAATGTTATGGTTAGTTCCTGCTTCATATTTTTAAAAGGAAAGACTCTTTTCCTATTTTGAGTATGAATAATTTTCTTAGTTTCTTTCTTTCTTTTTTTTTTTGTTTTTGAGACAGAATCTCACTCTATTGCCAGGCTAGAGTGCAGTGGTGTCATCACAGCTCGCTGCAACTTCAAATTCTTTGTCTTTCTAGCAGTCCCACTTGGTGGCCCCTACCTTAGCCTATTTCTCTGAAAATAGCTTTTTATTTAAATTTGTTTGATTAAGGGTTATTTATGCCCTTGTTTAAAGGAAAGGAAAAACTCTGGAGCCCTCTTTGAGTGTCAGTAATGAGCAAGAAGGCTTCTAGGAACTGGGACGGGAGAATAGTGTGGGGAAGCCAGAGCCAGGATGCTACTAAGCCCTATCCTAATGTTCTTATTACATGATTAGAATGAAAAGGTCTGTTGAAGTGTTTTTATTATTTTAGATCTGTCCACCTCAACTTCTAGAGAGGGAACAGCGCTTAACAACAGTAATTCTTCCCTTTTACTTGTAAGTGCCACTTCCTCTTTTGTAAATACATCGCTTAAATTGAAAATAGATCTTTTACTTAAGTAACTGAGTTATTTGAATGAACATGACAGTCTCCCTTAAATTTTGTGTGTGCTGTGGGAAATCGTGTTAAAGTAAGACTTTTCTAGAACATCCAGTAATAAATGCTCTGTGTTTAAGACTGGATCTGTCATAGCAGATTAATCACTGTTGTAGAGAGTGTAAGAAGCTTATTTAGCATAGCATAAATAGATCAAGGAAATATAAGATCAAGGCATGTAAAATGTGCATATTGTTGAAGCAGAACTTATTACTTATCACAAGTCATGGAGGATCAAAAAAAGTGGAGGGGGGCCTAGAGACCCAAAGAAAGGAAAATATAGAAAGAGATAGAGTTTAATTAAGGATGGAATAGTACCAGCCCCATTCTATGAAGATTGTCTTATTTTTCAGATAAATTCAGTTTCCTTCTTTAGTGATAATGTAGTAATTTGTTGGCTGTTTTTTAAAAATTTCTTATTCTTCTTGCAGATGAATGGACCAAGTAGTTTGTTTGCTTCTGAGAGTTTCCTGGGAATTTCAAATCAGCCTAGAAATGACTTTGGAAACTTTTTTGGAAGTGCAGTTACCAAACCATCTTCATCAGTGACTCCAAGACATCCTCTTGAAGGAACTCATGAATTGAGACAAGCTTGCCAGATCTGTTTTGTAAAATCAGGTCAGAACTAAACTCACAGGCAAAGAGTATTAAATTAGTTCATAACCTGAAAGTTCTTAGGAATTTGTAAATACATGTGAACAATACAAGCTACTGTTGCTCTTCAATCTCTATTTTGAATTCTTCCTAAACAAGTGGCAATTATTGATTTGGGGTCTTTGGAATCTAATAGGCTATGTCTCTGCTCTTATTTGATACAATTTTATTTTTAGAATCATGTGGAATAGAATATTTACCTGCCTTTGGCAGCTTTTTGAAATTTTTATGAAACTCCTTATGTTCTAAGTATATGCTTAAGAATTTGATAATTTTCAAATGAGCAAGAACTAGAAAACATTATAAGACCAGTGTATGATATAATGTATATGAAAATTAAAGTACTTTCTATTGTTTTTTTCTATATCTTTACTCCTAAATCAAGTGATATAAACATAATTTATTCTGATATTGACTCAACTTCATTTTCTTTCTTAGTTTTTTTTTTTTTTTTTTTTTTTGAGACAGAGTCTCGCTTTGTTTCCCAGGCTAGAGTGAGTGCCGTGGCGTCAGCCTAGCTCACAGCAACCTCAAACTCCTGGGCTCGAGCGATCCTTCTGCCTCAGCCTCCCGGGTAGCTGGGACTACAGGCATGTGCCACCATGCCCGGCTAATTTTTTATATATATATCAGTTGGCCAATTAATTTCTTTCTATTTATAGTAGAGACGGGGTCTCGCTCTTGCTCAGGCTGGTTTTGAACTCCTGACCTTGAGCAATCCGCCCGCCTCGGCCTCCCAAGAGCTAGGATTACAGGCGTGAGCCACAGCGCCCGGCCTCTTTCTTAGTTTTATGTTTAACAGTGTTCCTTACTTTTATAAGCCATCAGAATTTATCCAACTTATTTTCCTGGTAGTTAAATTAAGGGTATGTCTGGCAGGCGTGGTATTGACTAATAGAACTTTGTGCTGACAAACAGCAGAAAAGGCAGAAATCTACTTCAGTAGCCTGTTTACCTTTTGAAGTTGTAAAAATGGGATTTTGGTGGGAATTTAACAATTACTGTTCATCTGCTCATGTCTGCTTGTAAGTGTACCTGTAAAGGAAAGGATATTTTTTGTGCATTTGAGCATCCTCTTTACATCTTTTTCAGGCCCTAAGTTAATGGACTTCACTTACCATGCTAATATAGATCATAAGTGTAAGAAAGATATTTTAATTGGTAGGATAAAGAATGTTGAAGATAAATCATGGAAAAAAATACGTCCAAGACCAACAAAAACAAATTATGAAGGACCATATTATATATGTAAAGGTATATACTGTAATTAATTGGTATATATTAATTATGTAAGTGATAAACAACAGGCATGCATCACTTAACAGGGATAGCGTTCTGAGAAATGTGTCATTAGGGGATTTCATTGTGCAGACATCATAGAGTACTGACACAGACCTGGATGGCCTAGCGTGCTACACACCTAGGCTATCTGTGAGACAGCCTATTGCTCCTGGGCCACAAACCTGTACAGCATGTTACTGCACTGAATACAGTGGGCAACTGTAACACATCGGTTAGTATTTGTGTGTCTCAGCATATCTAAATGTGGAAAAGTTATAGTAAATGGTATTATAATCTTATGGGCCATAAGATTGTATATGTGATTCATAGTTGACCAAAATGTCATTATGTGATGCATGGCTATGTTTGCTACATTTATTATAACAGCTCCAGTATTGACTGTTACAAAAAATGTTTAGACAGCACTAACAGCAAGTTCCTTGGATTGAGATATTAATATGTTTTATATTATGTTTACTGTTTTTAACTTCTTGTGTATGTTTTATAGTTGTTTCTGGAAACAACTTTTTTTATTTTTTGAGACTCTCTCACTCTGTTCCCCAGGCTAGAGTGCTGTGGCGTCAGCTTAGCCCACAGCAACTTCAAACTCCTGGGGTCAAGTGATCCTACTGCCTCAGCCTCCCGAGTAGCTGAGACTACAGGCATGTGCCACCATGCCCGGCTAATTTTTTATATATATATTAGTTGGCCAATTAATTTCTATCTATTTTTAGTAGAGATGGGGGGGTGGAATCTCACTCTTGCTCAGGCTGGTCTCGAACTCCTGACCTTGAGCGATCCTCCCGCCTTGGCCTCCCAGAGTGCTAGGATTATAGGTGTGAGCCACCTCGCTCGGCCTGGAACTTTGATCAGGCTTTGATCAGGTTTTAAAAAACTGCCTCAGTTTTAGAAAACTCTCTCAAACTAAGTTCTCTCTAAATAGAATCAGAACACTTAACTGAGGCTTTGAAAATGTTGCCACATTTATAATGCTTTTGAGAGAACTTGATATTTTCATGTTTGTCAAACCTCACTTCATCTGAATGAGCTTTAAATGTCCCAAAATGATATTTTAAACTTAGATGGAGTACTTGAGATTATTAAGGCTTTTTTCCCAGTCTGTAAAAAAAATAATTTAGGCTCTCTGGATAGTAATATGTTTAATTGTTTAAAGCTGTTCACAAAGCGTTACATAAAAATTCAAATGATGTCCTCAACATGATTAATATTCATTTGCTTTAAAAAAGCAATTGCCATGTTGTAAACGTCTTTTCATTGGCTGTCTTCTAGATGTTGCTGCTGAGGAGGAATGCAGATATTCAGGCCACTGCACATTTGCTTACTGCCAAGAGGAGATTGATGTCTGGACACTGGAGCGGAAAGGGGCCTTCAGTCGTGAGGCTTTTTTTGGTGGCAATGGGAAGATCAACCTTACTGTGTTCAAACTACTCCAGGAGCATCTTGGAGAATTTATATTTCTTTGTGAGGTGCTTTCTCCAAGACTTATATTCCGCTATAAAATTGGTGATAGTTTCTGGCTTGCAAACCCAGGAGCATAGAGTATTAGTGCAGGGGTCCTCCTTGTGATAAAGCATTTACTCAGTGGATGGAAGCTACCACTGTTATCAAAAAGAGTAATATTAAGACTTCATACTGAGGCTGGGTACAGTGGCTCACACCTATAATCCCAGCACTTTGGGAGGCCAAGGTGGAAGGGTCACCAGAGGCCAGGAGTTTAAGACCAGCCTGGGCAAAATAGTAAGACCCCATCTCTACAAAAAAATAAAAAAATTAGCCAGGCATCGTTGCACACACCTGTAGTCAGGAGGCTGAGGCAGGAGGATCACTTGAGCCAGGGAGTGGGAGGTTGCAGTGAGCTGTGATTGCACCACTGCTGCACTCCAGCCTGGGTGGGCAGAGTAAGGCCCTGTCTCAAAACAAAACAACCCCCCTATGCTCTCCCCAAGACTTTGTATTGAATATTAATTGGTATAAGTATTTATGTGTAAGTTTATAAAGGTATCGAAATTAAGGCAATATTCTGGGTACAAAATTTAAATTTTGTGTTATGTTTTTTTGATAATCCTTCTTTCTCTATTCCAGAAATGTTTTGATCATAAGCCTAGAATGATAAGTAAAAGAAATAAAGATAATTCTACTGCTTGTTCTCACCCGGTTACAAAGCATGAGTTTGAAGACAATAAGTATGTTGGTAGTTTCTAATTTTTGTAGTGGCAAAATAGATTATTTTCTTAGATCCAAATAAAACCAGTAATAGTATCTGCCTGGGCCCCTCCCCGTTCCCCTTTTGTTGTTGTTTTGAAGAATAATGACTATTTAAAAATGTACTTTAGTGGATTTTGCTGGAAATTAAATAATGAATTATTAAATTGATTATTTAAAACAGAAAAGCTTTACTGATTTATAGTTTCTCATAACATGGGTTTAGGTATTTTATGGCTTAAAATATCATTATACCCCCCCGCCAATTAATTCAATAATTGCCTACAACAATTTATTTTTTTCTGAAAAATTTAAAATGTATTCTTGATCTAGAACTTGACATTAATATGTGTGTGTATATATATATATTTTTAAAATCTGTGGCAGAACAATATTAAAATGTCACTCTGTTTTCATCTTAGGTGCCTTGTCCACATTTTGCGAGAGACAACAGTAAAATATTCCAAAATACGTTCTTTTCATGGTCAGTGTCAGCTTGATTTATGTCGACATGAGGTTCGTTATGGCTGTTTAAGGGAAGATGAGTGCTTCTATGCCCATAGTCTTGTGGAATTGAAAGTCTGGATAATGCAAAATGAAACAGGTAGGATTGTGTGTGATTGAGAAGCATGTCTCCTCAATAGCAGTCAGGGTTTGATGAAACAGTAATGTGGCAACACTGTTGATTTTTGTCCTGAGCTTTAAACTGTGTAGTCACTTTTGATTTTAGAGGCACCTGTTTTGAGTGTGGTCTCATGTAATTAATTGTTGACACAAGTTCATATGTGTAGTTTGGATTTGTGGAGAAGAAGTATTCCTCAGAAGGCACAAAGAGCTATATTTGTAGACATTAACGCCCCTGGATGTTTGTTTATTGCCAAGAGGAGATCGGTGTCTGGACACTGGAGGGGAGAGGGGCCTTCAGTCAAGAGGGTTTTTTTGATAGCAATAGAAAGTGAACTATGTTCATACTTCTCTAGGAGTGTCTTGGAGAATTGATGTTCCTTTGTGAGGTGCTCTTTGAAAAAGAGTAATGTGATACTCATCTTTGGTGATGGATTAGGTTATGTGAGAATAATTGGGGAGTTGAGGGGTCTCCTAGCTGATTCTGATCAGATTGGTGAACTGTTGTTATATTTAGAATTTAAAGGAGGGTTTGTACATTTCCCAGGTATCTCACATGATGCTATTGCTCAAGAATCTAAACGATATTGGCAAAATTTGGAAGCAAATGTACCTGGAGCACAGGTATTTTTTCTTGTGTACTTCCTGTACTTAGTACCCTTTCTGACATTGCCTGATAGATATTGGTTGTTGGCAGATGCAGTTAACATTCACAATCTGTTATTCTCTTAATGTTCATTCAGTTGAGTAATTCTGATAAAACAGCATTTTAGTTGATCATCGTAAAAAAAAAAAAAAAAAATTAGGGATCCCACAATACCTGCCAAAAGTGTAGAATGCTGTTTTCTCAATTAGCTTTGGCTTATTTATTTGGGCTTTGGGGATTCTCAGAGTAAGGGAGGTAGATTATGTTTGTAGTTTTGCTTCCCATCTGGCATATTGTGTTTATTCACTACTCTCCCAGCAATGTCCCCCTAAAAATCAAACGATCCCAGTCATCAATTCCAAAGCTGACTTTCATAAATTGAAATTTGGCATCTGTAATCTGCTCTTATCATTTGTTTTTTTGCATTTGGGGGGAGAATTGGAGATTTAGTTATCAGAGCATATATATAATGGTCTCACCAGACAAAAACAGAAAATTGTATACTGTTGTAAAAAAAAATGCATGGTGATTCAGTATTTTTTCAGAAAACTGATTTTCTGTTAAAATTGAAACTGATCTTTTAATCGTTTAAGGTACTTGGCAGTCAAATAATGCCTGGATCTCTTAATATGAAGATAAAATTTGTGTGTGCCCAGTGTCTGAGAAATGGCCAAGTCATTGAACCAGACAAAAACAGAAAATATTGTAGTGCAAAAGCAAGGCATTCGTAAGTATTGTGTGTGTGGAAACAATGCCTATTTTGTAATTTTCTGTTTCATAGGTATAAAGTCATTCATACAAGAAAAAAGATTAAGGCCTTGAGGAGAGCAGAAAGAAATAGATAATTTAACAGTAATTACAAGACAAAAGAGAAGAGATTTTTAAGATTTAGAAGCTAAGAATTCAAAAGTAATGTTTTTCCTGTATTTTATCAATTCTTTGTTTAGGGTTCATAGAGAATGTTTATAAATATCAACAGAAGGTGAAATTATAGAATCATAAGGCATTTCTTTTAGATGAGTTAAGAAAAAAAGTTCTCTGGTCCTTCAGGTACAGACTTTGTACCTCTCCCTTTATATTAAGTCTTTTGCCAGTGTGTCTTTGTTTTTTCTGAACTCCATTTTTCTTAGGTGGACCAAAGATCGTCGTGCGATGAGAGTGATGTCTATTGAACGTAAGAAGTGGATGAACATCCGTCCTCTCCCCACAAAGAAACAAATGCCTTTACAGTTTGATGTACATACGTAATTTTTAAGCCACTTTTTTTTATTAGGCATTTCAAATCATTAGAAAATAGTAGTAATTCATATTGAAACGCAAGGTCTTTAAATAATGCTGCTCATCAGTAATAATGCAGTTTAGATGGTCCTGTGGTTGTTTTCCTTCCTCTTTAGTTGTGTGTGTGTGTGATTCTATAGCAGTTTTCATATTGATTGGAATTTTATGAGTTATTTTGAAAAAGTAAATAGATAATATAATTGAGAAAAGTTATGGGCATAACTTAACTTACCTTTTAGAGGAATTACTTTTGGGAGGGAGGGAGAGAGAACTTCATTTAATTTTGATTCCTAGGCCGGGCGCTGTGGCTCACGCCTGTAATCCTAGCTCTTGGGAGGCCGAGGCGGGCGGATTGCTCAAGGTCAGGAGTTCAAAACCAGCCTGAACAAGAGCGAGACCCCGTCTCTACTATAAATAGAAAGAAATTAATTGGCCAACTGATATATATATAAAAAATTAGCCGGGCATGGTGGCGCATGCCTGTAGTCCCAGCTACTTGGGAGGCTGAGGCAGAAGGATCACTCAAGCCCAGGAGTTTGAGGTTGCTGTGAGCTAGGCTGACGCCACAGCACTCACTCTAGCCTGGGCAACAAAGCGAGACTCTGTCTCAAAAAAAAAAAAAAAAAAAAAAATTTTGATTCCTCAGGTTTGATGTCAAGCCCAAGGCTTCTGTGTTATAATTAATGCTGTTGCTGAGTTTGTTCTTACCATGCCTTGTTTCTTTCACCGAAGCAAGGGGTATTAGCCAAAAGATACCCAACTTCACAGAACTTTCTAAAAGTAACCCAAAGGAAAATGTTCAATGTTAGAGGAACGTGTTCCTCAAAAAACCCTTAGAGTGAAAATACCAGACCAACTTAGAGGTAAGGTAGTATTTCATTCACGTGGTAGCACGTTCCATCTTGGAACACTGCCGCGCCTCTTGTGATCTTGGAGACGATTTTCTGAGCAAACCACTTGAGTTGTCTCTGGTCTTTCCTCTTCACAAGAGGGAGGGTCTGGAGAGAGTCTAGAGGTATTCCATTATGTGAATCCATAGACAGGGCCACTTGGAGTACTGAAGGGAGTAAACTTTCTGTCTGCCTTCTGATGAAGGAAATATGGAGAGAGCCTTTTTCCCCGAGAAGCAGGGCAGATGGAGTGCAGAGTCCCCTCCTAGAGGAAGCCTCCCTCTCTGAATTGCCAGAAAGAGTTAAAGAATAGATAGATGAATTTTTATCACCTAGAATACCTTGCAGTTTTGTAAAACTTAAACAAGCAACAAGGTCAGTCTTTGAAAGGTTGTGGTGTGTTTGTGTTTTATCCAAAGTGGTTTTAGACAGGTAATCGATGGGTTGCGTAGGAGGGGGGAAAGAAGTTTATTGGAACCATGATATCTTGTGGTTTAAAAGATAACACAGATTATGTATTATACCAAATACTTCATTAAAATGAGGACAACTGAGTCATGAGGCAGCTGCCTAGGACTATTGATTATTTTTTAATCTCAAACGTGGTGTACTACTGTGCAATGCTACTGTAGTTTATTTCCTCTTTTTTTCCCCTACCATACTAGGTATTGCCAAGGGACTCTTTTTCTAAAAGAAGAAATTATACTCTTTGTGTATATGTGTGTAGACAGTGTGGTGTGAGGTGCAAAGATAGTGGGCTTCAAAGTCTGCCAGAAGGGCCCAGGTCAAGTTATTCAGCCTCAGTTTGCTCATCTGTAATTGGGAATATTTACGTGTGATGGTGTTATGCAAAATCCCAGCACAAGGCCCAGCCTCCTCCTTTCACTTCTCTTCTCCCTGCTTCTTATCATTGAGCTTTGAAAGACTATGGTAAATGTTTGCCTAGTGATACGGCTAAGTACTTACCGGGGTTTGACTGGGGAGAGAATACGATAAGTTAGTCACAAGACTGTTTATTGGCTACTGACTTTATGCAGAAGATTTTAGGGATGGGGTAACTGCCACCAAGGGAGGAGATGTATAGTATTAAGGGCTGACCGCTTTTAGAATTCTAGCAAAAACAGATGCTAAGCATTTAATATTACATAAGCTAGGTGATAAAGGGCCAGCTTTATCCTGTTGAAACACAAAGATAAAATAATAATTCGTTATAGTAGGATTTATGCTCTATAAAGACCAGTAGATTGGGGGTATTTAAGAATGAGCTTTCTCGGTGATGGAGGTTTCCTTGTTTCTTGCTGGTCAGGATTCTTAGGGAATTCTGTATCTGCTGATCACTATCACTTTATTTTATTTTATTTTTTTTTATTTGAGACAGAGTCTCACTTTGTTGCCCAGGCTAGAGTGAGTGCCGTGGCATCAGTCTAGCTCACAGCAACCTCAAACTCATGGGCTCAAGCAATCCTGCTGCCTCAGCCTCCCGAGTAGCTGGGACTACAGGCATGTGTCACCATGCCCGGCTAATTTTTTTTTTTTTCTATATTAGTTAGCCAATTAATTTCTTTCTATTTATAGTAGAGACGGGGTCTCGCTCTTGCTCAGGCTGGTCTCGAACTCCTGACCTCGAGCAATCCGCCCGCCTCGGCCTCCCAGAGAGCTAGGATTACAGGCTTGAGCCACCGCGCCCGGCCTCACTTTATTCTTCTACCAGTATCACTGTATTCAGTTTGTTAAATAAAAATACAAATATCCAGAAGAGGTATTATTTGAAAGCTATGTAAATCCTTGGCATGCTTAGTGTGATAATTGTCTTTTGATAATGCATATCTAGTGAATTAGGGCCGGGTCAGCTTCCAGTGTAAGTAATTAAATTAAAGGCACTGTTTAGTGACCTCTGGAGTAGCCTGCAGTTTCTTTACTGCTTCTCAAGTGCTGACATGGAGCCCTCGGGAGTGTTATGCAGGGGAGATTAGGAGCTGTCAGACTGAGAAGGCTAGAGATGGCATTGTGGAGATGAAACATTCTGAATAAGGAGGTTTGCAGAGATTTTATGTAAGAAAATGTTCCACACTTTCTTTTCTTTTGGAAATATTTTTTGAAAAACTTTGAACTAGAAAGCTTACTATCAATATCATCTCATGTGTTTTGAGTATATAGTCAATTTGAATAGAATCACAGTAATCTTATTTTAGAATTTTATTACTAAGCATTAGAATGGATAATAATAGTGCTTATTTTGCATCAGTGTAAAAAATTAGGCAGTTTTACTCTGTGTACTCTGTCTTAAATTATGTTCTTTTTTTTATACAGCTGTGCAACCATATTGCTTCTGGGAAAAAATGTCAATATGTTGGAAACTGTTCCTTTGCTCATAGTCCTGAGGAGCGAGAAGTGTGGACTTACATGAAGGAGAATGGGAGTAAGTTGATCTTTTAGCTGAGTTCTGGACATCTGTGAAAGCCGTTTCGCTTGAAAGTTCCCTTTCTCCCTCTAAATACGCCAGCTCCCTGTGAACACAGAATTCGGTTGCATTGTAAACAGTTGTACCCTGGTTCACCGGTATTTCTGTTGGTAACGATGGCTGGAAAATGTGACTACAACCTCAGTGGAGCAGAATCTGACATCCGGTCTGTGTTTGGTTAGGTCAGGTTTGGATATGAATATATAGGTCTGCATCCGTAAATGCAATAAATGTGTTCCTGAAAAATGGTCTGGGAAACTTCAGCTCTTTCATAATTGTTTAAGTCAGATCATCTGCTCCCATTGTAAATAGTTGCCCTCTGAATTAAGTAGGTTAGAATTGGGGGTTTCTTCAAGGATCCCTTACTAATAGAACAGGCCCTGATTCAGAGGCTCAGGGATAGAATGTTTATCTTGGTCAAATTTCAAGTTTATTGTGGGAGTCTTTGAGAGGAGCCTCAGACAACCTTTCACTTTGACCGTAAAATGTCTTAATACAAGGATCATTGTTTTTTAATCTTAAGTAAACTGATCTCTGCAATTCCTGGATTACAGGAACCAACCAGATTTAGGGTTTTCACCTGTCATGTTTCAGCCACATACGTAGAAAGTCAGTGAGTCGGTCAGATCTCCCTCTAGCTGTCTTGTTGGAAGTGAGGCCAGTCAGGTCTTACTAAAGCCAAGTTTTGAAGAGCTTCTCATTACTAGTTTTTAGGCCAGTGGTTCTTGAGTGGGTACAAATTTGGCCATGCACCCTCCCTCCCGCAATGTCTGGAAGCATTTTCATTGTCCTAACTGGGGGAATGTGCTACTGGCACCTAGTGTTGCAGAGGCCAGGGATGCTGCTTAACATTCTGCAATGCACAGGACAGCCCCCACCCGCAAAGGATTGTCCGGCTAGAATCTCAGCTGAGGTTGAGAAACCCTGGCTCGACCACCTGACAGTAATGCAGAATACACCTGTTCTTACCGTAGGAAGTAACTGGCAGCCACTGCCCAGGACCTGGTCACGGCTGCGTTGCTGTCCTAGCACTCCTGCACATTGGTCCTCTAGGACTGTGGCCTGACTGATGGACTCCCATCAGGTCAGAATCTTGGCCCAGTAGTAGTATGTTTCTCATCTTTTGTCAGTAAGGGGCGTATCAGCTCCAACCCCCCCAGCCACGTAAGTAGCCGTGTGGTTCTGACTCTGCCATTGAGTGTGGAACGCACAGTGACATGAAGCAGTGCTGAGACTTTTTTGGGCAATATCCTTATGAGATGGTTTCTGAGTTTTAAACATCCCAAAGTGTCTTGCAGATGCAGGAAGGAGTTAATTAATCTTGAAAACTAATGTTTGTGGTCTAACAGTCCTGAAATTGGTTCTTAAGCATGAGTTTATCTGCTGCTTGGACTATATAGCTCTGTGTCTAATATAATTGGTCTCCTTCAGCCTTGGAAAATGTATGCTGACTGGTACAAAAAATGTGCATGGTGGTGTGTGTATTTGAATAGTGTTTAGTTGCAGCTGCTGAAAGTAATTTATTTTTCTTTAGTACAAGATATGGAGCAATTTTATGAACTCTGGCTAAAGAGTCAAAAAAATGAAAAAAGTGATGATGTAGCCAGTCAGTCAAACAAGGAAAATGGAAAACAAATTCATATGCCAACAGATTATGCTGAAGTTACCGTAAGTACCACTGGTCACTTCACCTGGCCCTCCCGAGTTGTTGACAGAGCCTTTCTTTCCTTTCTCACCTGCTCCAAAACCTGGCTCTGTCACTTGCCGCCTGTCCTGCTCTGTTCTCTGGTGTCTTCACCTTCTCCCCAGTGGTTTCCTGCCGTTCGCTTAAGTCTGTTCAAGCTAAAAATCCCTCCTTTCCTTGATCCTTTTTCCAAGTGCTGGTTTCTCTGTTGACCAGCCTGGGCAGGTTATTTACATCTCTGAGTGGGGCAGTCGAGACGGAGAAGTGAAGCGTAATGAGTTTGTGACACTTACCATGGTGGGAGGCCACAGAAGGTGCTCGGGAAATGTGGGCTGTCCACCCCCCTGGTCCGCACAATCCCCCCTTGCTACCTGCAGTCTGGCCTCTCCCTCTGGTTCCGCAAGGATGTTAAGTTGCCGGTGGTCTGTTAACTGTTTTGGATTTCTTTTAAAATTTTCAAAAAAGAGGATAACGTGGATAGCTTGAGCCCACCATCCCACATTAACTGAAGTTAACAATTTGCCATATTTGCTTCTGTAAAATAAATAAAATGTTACAGATTTGGTTGGGAGCCATTTGTTTCCCTTCCCAGAGGGACCAGGTCCAGCGTGTATTTTCCAGGCCATGTTTACCTATCGTTATAAATATGTATTTATTCTGAAACAATCTACAGCTGTGCCTGGTGTGCTTTTCAACATTTGCATGAATGAATGTCTTATTCTGCTGCTTGTTTCTTGTTCTGTTTTTTTTTTTTTTTTTTAATTTAAATTTTTATTTTTCTAAGCCAGTCAAATCTAGCAGTGGGGGGGGGGTCATATAGTGTTCTGTTTTTGGCAACTCTCTGTTGGTTCAGTTGGATCCAGGTCTATTGCCCACTGCGGGGCATGTGCATGGGCTGGTCTTGCCTTGTGTCTCTCCAATTATGGCATGCCCTGGGAATGCCACCTTTGTCAGGGCTCAGGTTGATTCCAGTGCTACCTTTACTTAAGTGCTCCTTGGTGTTCCCAAAGCAGGGTCACCCTGACTTATTGGATCATGCGATTTATCTCAAGTGTAATAATAAAGGTGTTTAGTAATATAAAGGTTCTTTGTTTACACTCCAGACTAAATGAGTCAGAATTTTTTTTTTTTTTAAGAGTTAGTCAGCCAGGCACGGTGGCTCACTCCTGTAATCCTAGCAGTCTGGGAGGCCTAGGCGGGTGGATCGCTCAAGGTCAGGAGTTTGAAACCAGCCTAAGCAAGAGCAAGACCCCGTCTCTACTAAAAATAGAAAGAAATTAATTGGCCAACTAAAAATATATATATATAAAAAAAATTAGCCAGGCACAGTGACGCATGCCTGTAGTGCCAGCTACTCTGGAGGCTGAGGCAGGAGGATCGCTTGAGCCCAGGAGTTTGAGGTTGCTGTGAGCCAGTCTGACGCCATGGCACTCTAGCCCAGGCAACAGAGTGAGACTCTGTCCCAAAAAAAAAAGTCAGGGTTGTGCTCACTTTGACAGCACATATGCTAAAACTGAAACGATACAGAGAAGATCAGCATGGCCCCTGCACAAGGATGACATGTAAATCTTTTAAATTAAAAAAAAAAAAAAGTCAGAGTCTCGCTCTCTCACCCAGGCTGGAGTGCAGTGGTGCTATCATAACTCACTGCAGCCTAGAACTCCTGGGCTCGAGTGATCCTCCTGCCTCAGCCTACTGAGTAGCTGGGACTATAGGCATGCACCACCACGCCTGCCTAATTTTTTCTATTTTTCGTAGAGATGGAGTCTTGCTATGTTGCCCAGGCTGGTCTTAAACTCCTGGCCTCAAGTGATCCTCCCACCTTGGCCTCCTAGATTGCTGGGAAGAAATTATTTTTATTAAGTGCTGCAGTTACTGCCTAGGACATATGAGAAATACTATCCAGACACTTAAAGTTTGTATCTGGGTTGGTTGGAGTACAGTAGTGTTTACACATAATTAATCACAACCAGTTACAGATTCCTTTGTTCCTTCTCCACTCCTACTGCTTCACTTGACCGGCCTTTAAAAAAATAAATAAATACAAATAAATAAATAAATAAAGTTTATATCTGTGGTAGCACTTAAATTCTACCATAACAGGGTTGCTTTTGTGTGGGCTGTCCCCTGCTGGGGCAGCATCTCTACTTCCCTGCTGCCTGGTGCAAGCCCGGCCTGTAGCAGGGGCTCAGTCCACGTGCATCGGATGCAGCTGCTGCTGGTCCCTCTGGAGTTGGCACGCCCTGGTCTTTAATAGTCTCTCTGCTTTTTGTTACAATGTTAATTATTCCCAGAATGCTGGTTTGAACCTGCCTCTTGTCCTCCCAGCGAGCATCCTTGTTTGCATACCAGCTCCTATCACCCCCTTGCCAGAGACTTCCTGGACACTTGGCGGAATGTGTCTCTCCTCGTCTCTGCTCCCTGCGTGCCGCTTGCCTCCCCACGCGGCTGTCCTTTCCTTGCTATTCCTGACACTGAGTTTTATGTCCTTGCCTATGCTGCCCCGGGCTCCCTAAGAATAGAGTCTGGGTCTCAGATCAGGTGACTGACGGGACACATGTCCTTGCTGCACGCTAGGTGGACTTTCACTGCTGGATGTGCGGGAAGAACTGCAACAGCGAGAAGCAGTGGCAGGGCCACATTTCCTCCGAGAAGCACAAGGAGAAGGTTTTCCACACCGAGGACGACCAGTACTGCTGGCAGCACCGCTTCCCAACGGGGTGTTTCAGTATTTGTGATAGGTATGTAGGTTTTAACATTTTTTTCCACGTGCAAATTGCCAATCGCAGCTTTCCTGGGCATGATGTCAGTAGACAGAGCATGTCTGGGTGGTCAAGTTCGGATGCTGCTATGCCCTCGTGGACCCTGAGAGGGTACTTGCGTTCTGGTTCAAAGTATTTAGCTGCTGATTGGGCATTTCTTCACTCTTCTGTGGGTGTGTGGAGAGACGCGACAGTCTTCCGATACTAGTGTGAAATGCCTTGAGAGAACTGAATAGAGAAGTGTGTTTGTTCACCTTTGCCAAAATGATCTCGGAGTTCACAGCTGTGATTCTCTAACCTTCGCCACAGTCTGGGCTCAGAGTAGGTGTTCATCAGATTGGAAGTGGCTTTTAAGTTATATTTTAAGAGTAAATCTAGAACTTAGTTCGAAGGAAAATATGAATGTAATAGTATCACTCTTTTGTTTCAGTTTTCTTAGAAAGCGTTTCAGTGAAAAACTAGATCATTTTTAATTGCTCCTAATTTTGTCAAATCGCTGTCTATATTTAATTTCCAAATTTAGATCCATGTGATCTTTAAAACTGTTGAAGCCATCTTTTACTTAATGCTGTCACATTTGTTCCAGGTGGGAACCCAAAAAATATCAGAAAGCCTGTGAAACAAATGCCTCAGGAGTTTAGAGAATCCAAGGTCATAAATTTAACTTTGACCACAAACAGTTGCAGCCACGCCGACATTCCTATCCCCCTAATAATGCCCCCTCCCCTATCTCTACAGATGTGACTCACCCCCAAAAAACCCCTCTATAAAGCCCCAAACTTTCCCCTCCCTCGGGGTGGATGCTTTTTCACCTCCACCCATCTACACCCAGATGCTCAAAGTAAACATTTTACTACATGTGAGACTTCATATGTCTATCTCTCAGCTCCAGGCCTAGCATTTGATTCCAAAACCCAAGTGGGCACACCAGATAGACACGACCTCTAAGACTCTAACAAACAAAACTTACAACTCAAAAAACAACAGACAGCAACACCTCAACCTGGTCTAACCTTCCTCTAAGTCCCTAAATCACCAATAAAATTTCCATAGATCTTTAAATTAAGAAAGGCCAGTCTCCTTAGTTAATCAGAGTCCCTCAAAGCCAATAACCTCCCTTATCTCTGACAAGGTGACTAAAAAAAGTCCGGAGCCATACAGAATCCTCTCTCTAACTTGTCTCTAATCCTTAAATACAGACAAAACATTCTAACTTGGCCAAAATAAAATAATTATCCACAGGGACCCTCCTAAACCAATTGGAAAAAAAGACACCAGACTGAGACCCAAATCTTCCCTTTACTGATTTTCACAATCCACCTTTCATCCTCAAAAAGTAAAAGCTCACGAACTCGCTCCCAAGTTCCTCCTATCTCTTTCACTCTCGTCCCTCAAAAAATCCTGCGGGTCTTCCTTCACTGACCTTCAAATCCACATCCTGAAAACATCCTGTTCCTGGTAAGTAGGAACTCACACACTCGCTCTCAGATTCCTCTGATCTCTCTCTCATTCTCACTTCTCACTCAAAAGTTCCACCAAATACCCCAGCCTTTTGGCCTAAGGCACCAATAAATCCAGAAACGCCTATTCCAGTCAATGGCCCTCATCTCCTCTGCCCTTCCCTCATTTGGGGGACCCCTAAAACTAAATAAAATTGGCCTCAAATAACTCTCAACTCTATCCAGGGACATAAAAAACTCCCAGTCTGCTCTTCATAAAACTACCCCCTTAAAAAATCTCCTCCAAAATCTCAAAACATTAAATCTTACTGACAAAATCTAGCTGAAACAGCTTGTCTTCTACTATAATACAGTTTAGCCACAATAGAAACGTAACAATAACTCACAATAGCCCAAAAATAAAACCTTTAATTTTAACATATTACAAAATCTAAACAATTTCTGTCACCACAATAAAAAATGGTCCCAAATTCCCTATGTCCAAGCATTTTTTATACTCCATTCCCAGGCCTCACTCTACACAAAGTATAATCCAGCTCAAATCTTCATACTATACTCTAGACCAGAGGCCCTCAAACTTTTTAAACGGGGCCAGTTCACTGTCCCTCAGACTGTTGGAGGGCCGGACTATAGTTAAAAAAAAAAACTGAACAGATTCCTATGCACACTGCACATATCTTATTTTGAAGTAAAAAATCAAACGAGCAAACACACTCTCATGTGGCCCACAGGCCATAGTTTGAGGACATCTGCTAGACCGTCCTCCTCTCCCTCCCCCTCAACTCCACACCTAACAAATGCCACCTGATTTCTTTCCACTGCATCAAGAATGACTAGTCTTTCTTTCCCCTGTTAGTACTTTTCATTGAATACATTTAAATGGTTTAAGGTACTAATTTCTCCATTGTGGATGTCATGGCTATAAAACATTTTTCTAGGCTTGAGATTCCTAATAAAAGTTGTATGCAATTCACAAAGCTGGTGAAGTATGCATTTTCTTTTTTTTCTTTCTTTCTTTTTTTGGGGGCCTGGTGCTGAGGAATGAAGTATGCATTTTCAAAATCATGATGTGATTTTTGTAAACAACCTGCGGACACTCACCAGCTGACTCGTCCTAACAGGTATATGAACGGCACCTGCACAGAAGGGAGCAGCTGTAAATTTGCGCATGGAAACGCTGAACTTCACGAATGGGAAGAAAGAAGAGATGCCCTAAAGATGAAGCTCAACAAAGCCCGAAAAGATCACTTAATTGCCCCAAATGATAATGACTTTGGAAAATATAGTTTTTTGTTTAAAGATTTAAACTAATATGCTGGCTTTTATGTATGTTACCTAATCAGAGCATTGACCAGAAAAATTGAAAGTGTTCTAAGGCACGTAGCAGAGGAGCTGCAGATTTTCTGCTTGTATTGGCGTATATCGTTCCTCCTGAGCAGCAACCCACAGTAGGTAGGAAAATGGGCTGTTTCACAGGTCTGGCCACGCTCTCACGGAACCATTGGCATCAAATGGCGAAGTGACTGCTACCCGGTTGCCATCTGTTGAACAGACTTTTGGATGAAGTGTGTTGGGGAAGAGGATAAGGTTATATCTAGGACAGCTCTTTGAGTTGGTCCTTCATATAAGAACCATGACGTTAAGAGAATAAACACCTGTACTGGGATCATAACACATGATGGATCAAATTCTTTACATGTTTTAGCGGAATGAATTTGTTTAATATAATAAAGTTTGCCACTTATCTGTATGTAGGTTGCTAAAAAGGATTTTCTTAACCCAGATTTTAAGCCAAATAACCATTTAACACTAGTATATGTTAAATGGGGTATTTTTCTCTATTTGTATGTTTCATTATAATAAGGGAACTGAGGATAATGTGCATTGAGAATATTTTGAAAAATAATCAGTTGACTCAAATTTTATTTCTTGGTCTTTTGCTGTTTAAATGATGATTTTGAAAGATTAAACTTGTACTGTTGGTATTGTGTAGTGTACGGACCAATATTGCCTGTAATAAAGATTTTATATATAGATGTCTTTCTTTTTTTGGTGTGTGGTCCTTTTCTCACAAAGAATGGTTAAAACTGGGTACAAAAATCACAAGTTGGTTTTTTGTTTGTTTTTTAGACACAGGGTTTTACTCTGTCACCCAGGCTGAAATGCAGTGGTACTGTCATAGCTTACTGTAACCTGTAACTCCCGGGCTCAAGGGATGCTCCCGCCTCAGCCTCCCTAGTAGCTCTGACAACAGGCACAAACCACTATGCCTGGCAGATTTTTTTTCTTTTTTTTTTAAGTTTTTCATAGAGATGGAGTCCTGCTTTCTTTCTCAGGCTGGTCTTTAACTCATGGCCTCAACTGATCCTCCCGCCTGGGCCTCTCAAAGTGCTGAGATTACAGGCATGAGCTATTGCGCCTGGTGGACAAGCTGGGTTTTTTTTAGATAAGGATTTTTGTTTAAGTAGTGAGTGACAGAATGCAAATTGGAAGAACACGAAAGCAACTTTTCACTTTACTCCCCTCTCCTCTGAACGTGGGCTGAATAAGAGGCTTTTTATTGACATGGTAACTCTTCCAGGGGCTCTTCTATGTTTCATTTATGAGTTAGATTAGCAGGAAGAACAATGGTCAGCTGGTGAGATTGGGCTGTGGGATTCCACAGAGACAACTGTTCAGCACACACCCTTGATGGGGCCATTTGGTTGTTGAAAGAGACCACTGAGGGCATGGTCAGGGTGGGCTGGCAGAGATAAAGAAGTGGCCTTGCTGTTGTTTTTGCAACCAACCGGTGAGCTCGGGAGAAGGGCTGAAGAACTGTAGTCCAGGTGGGGGCAGCTACTTCATCAGTGCACGGCTGGTGTTGTGTCCTTGTTGAGTGTTGTGGGCAGGAGAATGGCTCAGAGACTTTAAGGACAAGATCTACTAGGCTGTGATGTATAGACCCTAAAAACCACCAGGCAAAGTCACTTCCTCGTGACAACCTTGAATGAGTGGGATGTGGGGAAACAGGAAAGGTCTTCGTGAGTCCACGCAGGGTGGAGAGGAGGGCACGGCTGCAAGTGTGAGCGAAGTAGGGCATCGAGCAGAACCAGAGGCTGCAGTGCCAAGGAATCCCCTGTGGCTTCCTGGGGACGCCGGGAGAGCCTCTGAACCAGTTACTGAGCAGGTGTATCAGGAGTGCATCTTCACTGCCAGGTAAGCAATCTGGCAGGACTTATGTTTTCTGTAGGTGGAATGGCAGTCTTACTATTCTGCTGCATCTCCCTAGTCTGTTACATTTTTTCTTCCCTGCATTCCTCCCAAACTCCTTTTGTCCTCTTTTTCCAGGGAGAACAGTAGACATTAAAAAAGTCATTTCTGGTGCTCCATTTCAGGTTAAAGATTAAAAAATTGGTTGTTTTGACCTTTGGAATTTAGGCTAGAAAACAACATTTAAGATCCTATGACAGTTAAGATTTTTTTCCCCCAAACTCCCCCTGATTCAGCTTTCCACCTTCTCAGCAATTCTCTGTGCTCTGAGCCATCCTTCTGGTAATTTCCATTTCGGCTAAATCAGCCAGATTCATGCTGTGCTTTGCAGCTAAGAGCCCTGCCTGCCACACCTTGGTCTCAGCATTAGGAAGTCAATGTTAATTATTCTATGGTGAGATGGCACCCCCATCCTACATGCGCTTCCCTGTGGCAGCTTTGGAGGAGATGCAGGTGGTGTGAGGAGGGGAGAAAGGAAAGGAAAATATAGCAGGAAAGAGCAAAACTCCAATCCCATAGTATTAGTAAACAGTAATAATTGGTGTGTCTGCTTGGACACATTATCTCCATATGATTTTTTTTTAAAACATTTACAAAAGTATTATTCATATAACATAAACTTTACCATCTTTAAATGTACAATTCAGTTGTTTTTAGTATATTTGCAATGTTGTGCTACAATCACCACAAACAATTTTAGAATATTTTCATTACCTAAAAAACCCCACATGCCTTAGCCATCCCTCTCCAAATCTACCCACTCCCCCTGCCTCTCAAGCTGTAGGCAGTCACTAATCTGCTTTCTGTTGCTACAGATCCTTCTGGTTCAGATATTTCATATAAACGTAATCATGCAACATGTGGCCTTTTATGACTAGTTTCTTTCATTTAGCATAATTTTCCAAGAGTCATCTGTTTCATAGCCCGAACCAGTATTTCGTTTCTTTTTATGGCTGAATAATACTGCATTGAATGGATAGAGCAGATTTAGTTTATCTGTTCATCAGCTGATGGACATTTGGGTTGTTTCCATGTTTGGCGATTGTGAACATGAACGTTGCTGTGCAAGTTTTTGTGTTCTCAGAGTTTTGTTGGCCGTAGGGAGTTGCCGCATCTTGATGAGGTGGGTGGAGGTGGCAGGTGCATCCTTCCTACCCTCAGGGACTCCTGTCTGCACAGTGCTGCCCCTGTGACTGAGGTGCACTGGGCAGGCAGGCTGTCCAGAGGTGCCTGGCCCTGCCCATCACCCTCACCCCCCCAGGACTGCCCACCTTGTGAGGACTGCTGGCATAGAGTCCTCAAGGTTGGTTTGATTTAGTTCCAGGGACCTGCATTGGTTGGGAAGTGAAAGGAAAGCACATTCCCTGAGCAGTTAGGGCAAGTTTCAAACACTCTTTAGCTGGCCCGGGGAGATTAGAATACAGGCTTCTTGTGGGTATTTGTTGCAGGGGATGAATGCCAATTTCTAGAAAGCCCATTCTGAAGATATGACACAAAGTCTCCAAGAAACACAGACACATTGATTGCCCAGAGTCCCCTGGCCAAGGGCCTGGCCTGCCTTCCTGCATTGCCTTCTCTCTAGTGCCATGATACCCTGCTTTGTAAGGAAAGGCTTGGAAGCTTTAAAAATTAATGAGCACTATTTCTCTCTGGTTCCAAGAAAGGCTTAACATCTGAGATGTTAAGAGATACAGTCGTGCGTTGCTTAACGATGGGGATACATTCTGAGAAATGTGTCGTTGGGGGATTTTGTCCATGTGCAAACACCATGGAGTGTAGATATACACAAACCCATATGGTATATCCTATTGCTCCTAGGCTACCAACCTGCACAGCATGGTACTGCACTGAATACTGTAGGCAACTGTAACATAATGGTATTTGTGTATCTAAACAAAGAAAGGTACAGTGAAAATAGAGTATTATAATCTTATAAGGCCACCATCATATATGCAGTCCATTGTTGGCCAAAATGTTGCTGTGCAGTACATGACTGTATATATATATATACATATACACACACACACACATATAATCCTCCTCCCCATCCCTCTTCTCAAATCCCACCAATTTGATCATGGTATAAAAAGTGGCCATGAAAAGCTCAGATACTGGCTGATGTGGACAAATTAGGGCTAACCTAACTTTTGAAGAGCAGTACTGCCTGGCCCCAGTAGCCTGGTACATTCTGAAACTAATTCATATTGTTTTGGAAGAACGTTCTGGTGCCAGCGTAGCAGCCCAGTTGCCCAGAAAGAGGAAAGGAGGCATAGTTTTATTAATCCTCAGTGGCTTCCTGGCCAGCAAGATGTTGCCTGCATTCGCTCACAAGGAATTGTGGGTCTCATGAGATGAACCCTAAGCAGCAAAAGTACTTTGAACCTGATAAAGGCCTGTGCAAACACCAGGAGACTGATGGAACTGTAGGGCAGAGATTATCCCAACAACCTACAGTGAATAAGGACTGGTGACTTTTGACCATATCTGTCTCGTTAGTGATATACCAGGTAACTCAAATCTACACAAAGAAATAATAAAAAAAAAAAACTAAAAATGGTAAATTAGAAAGTTATCTTTAAAAAAAACCTCTATATTTTTCTGTTCTTAGCTTTTTAATATGAGATTATGTAAGAATAACACTGTATGGTCGGGGTTGTAACATATAGAAAAAAAGAGTAATGACAGAAAAGAGGTTATGAGGCACAAGCTATTTTGCAGCAATGCCTGCATCTTATTGGGATGTGGTTAGTATAAATCTGAAGTAGATTCTGAAAAGAAATGTATATTGTAGTCCCTAGAGCAACTGCTAAGGATAGGACTTTAAAAAAAGTTAAAAATCATTAAAGGAATTAATGGTATACTAGAGGATATCCGCTTACTACAAAAGAAGGCAGTGGAGAAAGAGCAAAAAAGATGTAAGATCTAGAAAAAAACAGCAAAATGGCAGGCGTGCACGGGCTTCCAACATGTTGGGCTTTGACGCTGGGGCAGGTGGTTGACATATTGAGTGTCTGGCCCACCTGGCGACGTGGCACTTGACAAACCCATGTGACATCTGTGGAAACAGAACCGGACAAGGAGTGATGGGGTTTGCACTGGGGTCACCCAGCTGACATGTGGCAGAGGTGGAGTCTCACCTTAACTTCTGGCTCTCTGCTGGGCTCTTTGTTTTTTTTGCATAACATAATATTACCTTAGTTCCACCAAAGTTTCATTCGACTAGTACGTAGTGACTGACACTGCAGGCCGCATCTTGATCTGAGGCCACTGCAGCTAACTATGCACATTCGCTTACTCCCAGGTATACTTCTCCCTCCCCCTCTCCCTCATGGGAACAATTTCTTCCTGTCACTCTCGAATCACACATTTCATCCCTCACAGATCTCTCTCTCTCTTTTTTTTTTTAAATCACAAAATTTACATAGAAAAGTCCTAACATAGGTTTAGAGTCAGAGGGGAACACTCATTACTGAACACCTCCCTCGCGTGTGGAGTTTCAGGGGTGCCACACTGGTCTAGTGGGACCAGCCCTCAAACAACCGTGTCTAGAGAGAACAACCAACCTGCCGTTGCCCCCCAACAGTCCCCCAGGAGCCCGAGGTTCTCAAGCCTGGCTAACCTCCTTTATTTCCGAAACAGCAAGAACTATAACCTTGACTTGTGCCCACAGAGCGCCACGGAGACACTGGGGGTGCACAGCGGGGGTGCACAGCGCAGTGGGTCGCTGGAGGGGCTTCTTAGCCAGGGCGGCCCGCATTTGAGTCTGAATTTCTGGCTTATTAGTTTTGTGAA